TCCTCATTGCGTTTGTAATTTTTTTTCTTTATAAAGACTTGCTTGGAATTGAGGTATTCATTTGAGAAACTTCATTCATTCATGAAAGTTTCCATAACTCTGTTTGCTACAATGAACAAGGTCGGCAAATTTTGGCATGGCCCCACTTTTGTGTTTTACTCTCCAAAAAGTTTTGTTCAGAAAAACCCCAAAAAATCACCACTTTTTTAGGGAGATGTTCAGGCGCCCATTTTGTCTGAGGAACTTACCCAAGTACCTTAAACTGAATTCTTGCTTCTGACTTTGGTACTTACCTCTCCTTGGTGCACAGGACACAACTACAGCCCTGTATGAGGTTTAATTCAGTTCATGTCTTGCTCTAACATGACAGAGGTCATGTGCTTGGGAGCACTCTCTTCTACATCCCTGCTAAGGGTTTGATTGTGTTTAGGCACCAATGTTCAGCAATACCTTTATCAAATGAGCTCCCAAAGGCAGGCTCTTACCTCTACTCTCAGGCTGGCTGTTGCTAGCAGGGTCCCTTGGTGTTGTTATTCAAGGTCCTGTGAGTATCAGCGCCCTGGGCAGCTGTCCTCTCTGAGAGCCAGCCCTGGATGCCTCAGCAGGATGGGAAAAGGAGTGGCGAGAGAGCTGAGCAGCCTCTTCTCCCCCAGGGCCGTTGTGTTTGCCATGAGCTCTCTCCCAACGCAGTGGCTGGTTATTAATGAATTAATACTCCCCTCTTCTCTGCACCAGCTTGCTGCCTCCTGGGAATTAGCTGACAGTGAGCAGGGGACTTGGCGACAGACACTGCCGCCAGTCCTGCCCTAACATGAAACAGCACCTTTCCATTATAGGCTGACTGCAGAGGATAGCAGAAGAAAGAGCATGGTCCTTGGCTGTAGTAAAGTGTGTCAGATTCCTGACAAATGTTGTGCTGCAATTTAACACAACTTTTCAGAGGGTGGCTACCCACACTCAGCCCCTGCTATTTTAAGGAAGCAGCCCTGTCTCAACCACTTGTCACATTTAGCCATTTAACTTTGTTAACTACTCAGAGGCCACTGGCATGAAAAAGGTTATGTGGGCCTAATTACCAATTAGTTCCTAAGACGGTCCAGCCCCACAGCTGGGTTTTGGAAACAGCTTTGAAGAAAGAATGTGACATTTCTGTAACAGAGAAATAGCGCTCTATCTCTTTGCCTTGGAAATCCTGTTTTCTATCAGCTTGTCTTTTTTTTTTTTGCACTGATTTTCTTTGCCCCACCCTCCGACTAAATGTTCTCCTCTTCCCCACACTTACTGTCTGCAGTGCCTTTGGCCTGGTCTGGGTCTGGACAAGCACATGCTGGAACAGGCAGCCCTGGCACTGCTGTTCTGCAGCATGTGAGCACACAGAATTCCTGCCTCTTTCCACATGCCAGCTGCCTTGGAAGCAGATCCTGCAACCTGCCCTGCTCAGTCACAGGGATCTCTGCTAGAGAGGGAGGGGAAGGGAGAGGAGGCTTCTGGTCTACTCCGCGTAGCCTTCCCTTCCTGTGAGGCCTGGATAGGCTGCAGAGTTACTAAATCTCCCCTTTGAGAGGATCCAAACCTCCCTATACTCCTGCACGGAGTATAGGATGGCTCTCCCTGCAAGAACAATGGCTTTAGCAGCCAGACCTCGCCACCCTGAACTACAGCCCACCCACTTCTTTTAGCAATAATCTGTAAGGAATAAAGAAGCTGAAACTCCTTAAGCAATTTGGATCAATTCCTCAATGACTACAGTTAATTTTTTTTACTAATGGTGTTTTCTTATGAAGGGTTATGTATAAAGTATGACTGTACAAATTTAAGAAGAAGGAAAAGCTCTGAGAAGCACGAAGCAATTCTGTTTTCTGAGAGAACAGCCCAAGGAGATGATAAATTGAAGAAACAGCAAAGTTAATCCTAGACACAATGAACTCCAGATTTAATAAACATCCCTAGAAGATGTTACTTTTCTTGAATGTGTCCTGGGAGGCCATTTTTAGAAAACATAATCAATCTGATTACTTCAGGTGTATATATAGTGTATATGTAAGATCCAGGAAATGATAATTTTCAGGCCCTGAAATATCGTGTTCCTTACTTACATTAAAAATGCATAAATGAAAGCACTGGGCTCCTTTCTGCTCAGAACAAACAGCCTCTTCTCATGTACTCCTAAACAGAAAACAGTATTACAAAGCCACCAGGAGGCAGCAGATTAAAATATTTTAGTGCTGTAAAAGAACAACCATTAAGAAACCCCAAACCAGCCCCCAAACCCTGCTGCTCTCCCAAATATTCCGCCTGATATGGAGGAAATGTGTTCTCCCAGCCCCCTGCTGAACATTTTGCTTTATCCACTGATCTCTCTTCTCTGCATACCTGAAATCAGTAGCAATTCCACTGCTGTCAAACAGCTTTATGGAGGAGCATGGTTAAAATGGAAATCACACTGATTTCTGTTATAGCATTCACTGGAAAAAAAATGAGCAAAAAAAGTAGGTAAAAGTGATATGACAAAATATGACACCTCCCAACAGACTAAAGTGTTTTTGCTCTTTCTGGGGTTTAGTGAAAAATTCCAATCCCCTGAGTGCTCTCCTGACTACCTTTTTTGCTTACAAAATGCCACCCAAGAAGAAGCACTGGAATGGTGGCCAAGCCAGGACAGGCTCTGGCTACCTGCCACGCCAACGCCGCTGCTCCAGCTGCGCTGCCTTGGCCCCGCTCCAGCCCTGCATTCCCTGCCCCAGGAAAGCTGCAAGTTGTTTCCTCTCCTTCGTCCTTCCTTTTTTCTGCTGGTATAAAAGTTGCAGCTCAGCATGGTTTAAGGCAGCCTGAAATCACTACAGACATATATCTAAGCTTTCAAACTGGTAGGTTATTTCAAATCCTAATTATTTTAGAGGTAAATGTATTTTATATTGCTATATGTATGTTTTTATATTCCTACATATATTTTATGGCATTATACAGCATACAATAACTTCTCTTATAGAGCCTCATGTTACAGACTGAGTGTACATATATGAAATACAGCAAGACAGCAACAGAAATGTTGGAACTCCCTAAAACATTTCAAAATATGGCCCTCCGAGCACAAGGTATGTACACAGTCCACCTCCAAAGGAGAGCACAAGCAGTGTGCCATCTGCCCCAGGAAAGGCGCTCAGGAACCAACCAAAGGAAAAACCACAACAGCAAATACTTGTATTTTCAAACGGAAAACTCAGCTCCTAAGAAAATGCATCTGTGCCTCTGGTGTCTTAATTCAAACAGACACTACATATTTTCCACTGCAAAGATCACAATCAGTTGGGAAATTAAAACACAAGCACAATGTCAGCAGAAATCACAAATTTATTAATCCTTAAATATATCAATCATTTACCATTATGGCAAGAAATATGTACACTGTGTCCCATGGTAAACTGCAGTGTTCCAAAATGACAGACGTGTATAATTCAGTCGTGGTGGAGAGAACAAATCACAAGTTCCTCACGTCTTGGTGTGGAAGACAAACTTGGTCTACAGTAATACATCAACACCACATGCTATGTCAGAAGTATAAAAAACACCCTACACCTAATTTGTTAATTTTAAATACAGTTATGCCACTTATAGCCGCTTCACAAAAAAAAAAAGAAAAAAAAAAAAAAAAAAAAAAAAAAAAAGAAAAAAAAAGAAAAGACACAAACCTGTGGTAAAGTGACTTTTTTTTTTTTTTTAATAAACGAAAATGAGGCCATTACTTTTTTCACAGATCCCATTGGCAGGTTAATATGGCTCAACACATTTATTGTAGATGCTTACTTTAAATATATATTCTTTAAAATCATGTAGTAATTATCAGAGAAGCTTAAGTCCATCTACCATACAACCACTAGTAACAACATCAACATGTTTAAGAACTGCTTCTGATTAGTAATTAACACAGAAAGGTGAAATGATACAAATTAGGAAGCTTTCCCATTTTAAAAAGTTCTGGCTGCCGAGTTGTAAATTTTGGAGGGCTGAAAAGGACACTGACTCAGACACCATGCACTGTACAGCGCTGCGGGGAGCAGGAGCCTGCTGCTGACAAAACCACGGGAGATCAGGGGCAGCCCAGCCTGGGCTTCCCTGCAACAGTGCGAGGGAAGAAACTGAAATTCCTGCGTGGGTGTATTTTTACAGCAAGGCGAGGGAAGGAGAACTAGTCCCTGGTGCAAGGTTTGTGCTCCGTGCTGCCAGCACAGCGTTCCTCCCTCAGCCTGGAGCTGGGACAAACCCCTCAGCACTGCCGGCCTCGCCATCGAACGCTGCCAGGGCAGCTTGAGAAACCACGAGTGGATTGAGGGCAAGGGGGGAGACACAAACCTGTGGTAAAGTGTTGGGGTCCCACGGAAAACCGGTGTCTCCGTAATTCATTTCCAGAGCAGCAACAGCAGCAGTGTAATGGAAGTAAACTCTTCATACTTAGCTTTAAGGCCTAATATTTCTTAAGTATATTATCCACACAACTGGTCTATACATTAACCCACATATATTTTTTAAAGCCTCCTTAAAAAATTTACAGTACATCCTAAAAGCGATAAAAATCTTTCTCTTTCCTTCCATTTTAATCCTCAAAAACTGTCTCTCAATTATCACTTAGTTCCCTACAATTTTTAATTTTGCTTAATCATCCAATAGAATCATTCAGTTAAGCAAAACAAGAAAGCAAAAAGGACTCAAAAGGAAAATGGAAGCTGCTGACTCACCAGAACACTGACAGTTAATTCTGGAGTGGCCAGGCCAGCAAATGAGGAGATTTTTCCAGTTTACATCGACTAATAAACTAAGAAGGCTGCAGCTGGTCCAAAGCCAAGATATTAACACTTCCCCATTTATCAGTGATTTTGTCCATCTAGGATAAAAATCTGTTTTACAGTAATGGAGCTGCCAGCAGAAATCCTAACCATTCCTACCAGAACCAAAGCAAAATCCTGGGACTCAGGAGAAAAGGAGGAGTCAAAAAACAGTTCTTAAAAAAAGAAGGTAAAATATACTTTTTCTTTTTTTTCTTTTTTTTTTTTTTTAATAAACGCGTTAGATTTTAAAGTTGTCTGTCAAAACTTGGCATAAATGGAGCAAGTGACAAATGTATTGTGTGTCTACTGCTGTCCATCCAATATCTCTTTTTTGTCTTTTACACCTTGTTATTCTCTATTTGCATGGAACATCACCTTCATTGAAATGTTAACAGTGTACAGATGGAATATACAGCAACGTGGTGCATCACAAATGTGTTACATGAAGAACCTTCACAACTTCATGCACTCAGAAACATGCATGAAGAGAACGGGATGGCCAAGATGGTAATCAACCGGGTGCGTTGGGTACAGAAAATGCAAGAGCGGCACCGCTGATATTTTTAGCTAGGAGGAAGGAGAAAAAAAACAAACAGATTTCCATTACTGAGGTAACATCACCACCAGATAACAACACATGCTCAAGTGTTAGCCAATGATATTGAAAAAAAACCATCTTGTTGAGATCACTAAACGTGAGATACTGGGGAAAAAACAAGGGAAAAACCTCCACTCAGGAAAAGCATCCTTTTATTTTTCAAACCACTTGAGAGACATTTTCCATCTTTACAGGATGCCAGAGAGGCTGTGAAAATAAAAAAGAAAACTGAGGCAGGAAGCCAACATGTCTTAAGGGATTCCTTAAGGGAGGGAGAGTAGAATTCAGCCGTGAATCTCTGGGTGTAACTTAACTTCCTCAGCATGGACATCGCAGGCACTGCCATGGACTGAGGCCCTTGTGCAAAGACTGGACCAAGTGCCAAGGAAGAATCAGGCGTCATTCACATGCAAGACATGCCAGAGCCGAATGCAGAGAGAGAAGGAAGGGAAAGGAGCTGCAAGCAAGTATGTAGCTAACTGAGGCTGTAGCATCATTTGTATTACCGTAGCATCTAGAGGCTGGAGCCATGGTGGGATCCCTCTGCGCTAGGCACTGCACAAACACAGAACAAACTCTTTACTCTGCATTCCTGTTCTCTGGCACTGCACTTATCAAAGTATAAGAAGGTGTGAGCAGTGACCAGGGAGGGAACATAAGCCTCATTGAGGCTAAAGCTAGGTTAGAGAGTCACTTTTAGGCCCAGCAGCCCTTTGACTGCCCATATTGGGCAGTACAGTCTCTGAGGACAAGCAGACAGCTCTGCAAAAACACATCAGCACAAGTCCCTAAGAACATGGATACAGAGAACAATTTCCTACCGTCACTCCTATCACTAAGAGAGAAACCCTGGATGAGACAGAAACCCAAGTTTATCCCATCTCACTCACAGCAAAACCACCACAATTTTTTTATTTTTTATTAATAAAAATTTATTTATAAACTAAACACATATTTGTGCTCATATCCTTTTTTCAAGTAAGTTCTCTGCCACAAGGAAACATTTCCCTATATCTACCAAAGAGCTCAGTTCTGTCCTGAAAACAAGGAAGTTACTGTGCTTGCAGCAACTGCTTTCACACCACCTAGGATACCATGTCTAGTAGATCACAGCTATAATTGTTTTTGCAACTTTATTAGATTTGAAATTCATCTTCAGACATGATGTGTAAAATACTTTTTTATTATGGAAATGCCATTATTTACTACTGTGCATTAGTAATAATTAAATAAGTAGCTGTAGACTATATGCATTTCAAATAAAGGAACTGGAACAATAAGTTAATTAAGTTCCTTAGTTTTCCAAAATGGAGTTATTGCTGCTCTGACTGGGAAGAGCAAAGGTGAAATATGAGACAGTGCAAAAATGCTCAGGACGGGTTACAGAAGAAGATGGGTCTAGCTTGGTGCTCCATGGGAATCTCCCAGTCAGACTTCAGAAGATGGGGAATAAAGAAACAATGACCATGTAACTCCAAAGAGGAGTTACCAGCCTAGAGGAGACTCCCCAGTGCTGAGCACAAGCAGCGGGACTGATCTCTCGTAGCATACTGACACTTAGGTGGAAGGCACTATAGAAAGAAAAGAAAACAGGAGCATTGTGCAGGGAAAACCAAATAACCTTGAGGGCTGGGAAATCCAAACATATTACAGGGAATAATAGGAAGTGCTAAGCTCTGTAAAAGTTTCTGTGTACCCACTGGCTGGAAATGAGAGTTGAGGATAAATAGGTGGCTGTCTCAGATGCACTGCAGATGAGAAAAGTGCAAAAATTGTGCAAGAACTGAGCAGGGAGAAGACATTGGAGAATTACATAAAGCCCTGACCACAAATGGACAGAGAATTTCAGAAGAAGCCAAGCTAATGGAAAGGCAAACCTCAAACAAAACAAGACAGTAAGGAGATAAGGTAATAGGAAAATGGAAATCCTATCAGACAAAGCCATCTGAGGTAGCGCTGGCTGTTTACCCTACGGAAGTAGAAGGTGGGAACGATCTCATCAATGCCTTCCTACAAACCAGTTCATGTCTGCACACAGACACCAACTCCAGTGCAGGAGAACAACGATGACATGGAAGAATCACGGATACACTGAAGATGACCAAATTTCACACTGGAAAGCAAAGCTCCTAACCATCAGACTGAGGATATTTTGGAACAGTACTAGAAGCAAGTCCAAAAACCTCCCCTGAAATCAAGATGAGAGCTAGGTATGGGATTTATGTGATATTGTTGCCAGTGCTACACACATAGGGCTACGTTGCTAACTCAGGGAATCTCCCCTTAAGCCTCAGTCTGGCTCTAAGGCTCCTCTGTGACACCCCTTGGTATGACAGCTCCTTCCCTTAAGCTTGGACACCCCTTGCAATCCTGAAATCTCCTCTGTCTGACCCCATTGGCTCATAAGATTCACCAATACATTAACCACCCTGCAACTCCAAAAAAATCACTCCATGGTGATTTTTATTCTCCTTCCACCCTTGGCAGCCCCAAAAACTCTTATCTTTATTAGAGACCACAAGCAGAGGCAAAGGACCTCCAGCAGTACCTTCCCAAAAAGACAAAGGTGGAAAAAAAAAATCAGAGGAAAAGATTAAATGATTCTCTAGTCCATTTCAGGTCATTGTACTGTAAACACCGACTGTTCAGGGTGCAGTGGGCCAGGTGAACCTGCTTCACTTCAGCTTTCTGGCTCTACACACACCCAGGTCAGATCCTTTGACAAACACTGCTTTTTGAAAACCTCAAAGATTTACCTAAAACTGCATTTCAAGGAAGAGTAACTTCTCTTTGAATACTATCTGGTGAAACACTGGCAGCGCAGCTGGAATGTGAGAAACAAATGACATGTGGCTCCTGTTCCCATTGGTTTCACATTTTGAAAGAAAAGAGTTATCACTAAGTAATAAAATTTCACTTTTCCTAAGTAAGGAAATAATACAAAATCATCACCATGGAAGTTTAACACCTCATTCTACCTTATTTCTTATTTCATCAAGTATTATTTCATATAGGAGAACAGTGTCGCAAGCAGTAAAATATGAGACATGACGGTTCAAAAGATGAAATCTAAGCCCTTACCATCCATGCCAGGAAATTCAGCCACTGTCCACCTTAAGATACTGATGCAAATGGAATTGTATCCTATACAGAGGGCTCACTACTGCGCAAAGCCAGGCCTGGAGCAGTGCTGCCTATTTGGGAAACCACAAGTCACTGAGTTTGGGCTCATTAGCAGAGGCTGTTGAAGAAGAAGAGAAGCCAATGGCCTGAGCAGAACCTCCTGAGCAAGCCGTGACTCTTTATTTCGTTATTGCAACCCTGAGCATGCTGTCACTAACCCTGGTGACAAGGTGGCTCAAGGAGCTCGGTCACTGCCTGACTCCAATGGTGTGGCAGGGTCTGGATGAACAGCAGAGAGAAATACTGATGGGAGAGAGGCGAGGCTGTCCCATGGGGATGTCAGAACTGCCCAACAAGGAATACTCAGCAGTTACACACAGAGAGTGTGGGGAAAGAGATAAGAATGTGAGAGGGACTGGGATGGCTCAATTTACAAGGTAAATGTGTGAACTGGCTCAAACCCAACTTGCAGTGAACACATCTAGGCCTGGGAAAGTAGAGGTGGCTAGAAATCACACTAAGTATTAGTCAAACTTCAGTTTTTCCCAGGACTGACACATCTTACTTGAACCTTTCTGGTTAGCTCTGACAGCTCGATGTGTCCTACTGCTTTTTATTTTCCCAGGTTTTCCAGCAATTGTATTCCAGGTTTTCTAATCCGGTTTTGTGTGACTTCTATCAAGCTTTCTCTACATTAAAATACTTTCCTGCTCTTCAAGCTGTCAGTTCAGCGAGCGAGTTGGATCGGTGGTTATCACAGCAGAAAACAACAACCAAAAAAGCGCGTTATTTTAGAAATCTTCTCACCAACACTACGCACAGCAGTGGGTATAATATATAATGAACAACCACAAAAAGTGACACTACTAGAGGACGGCTCGCAGTTTTTAAGGCCCAAAGCAGCTATTGGACTATGAGGTGTGAGCTGGTGCTGGGGCTGTTCCTTACTTGATGGGTACGGTGGGCGAGCCCGAGCGGTGGAAGTGCACGTTCTGCCACTTGCCGTCGCGCCGGTGCCACACGCGCGTCTCCTCGGACTGCATAGTCTTTGGCATGCCGCTGCCGTCCATGTACTGCGTCAGGCGGATGTACGCGATGCACGCCGCGTCCTCGCCCACCAGGTGCACGTGCGGGTTCAGGATGATCGTGTGGATGGGCTTGTTGCTTTTGGACAGAGCTACGAGACACACACACACACACACACGGGGGTACACACAGGAGAAACCACATTTGCTCTGGATGAGCCAAAAGAACTCACGGCAACCTGTTTTACACACAAAAATCTCAGGCTTAGCAAATACAAAATCATAACCAGGGTTTTATGATCATCACACCTGCAACTAAAATAATTCAGGGAATGAGCACAATCACTTACTATACACTATTTAATAAGCAAACATGTTTAACCCATGTACATATATGGATTAAATAAAGTGGAGGGCACCACCAGGAGTTTCCCAACATTTCAGTTTCCTTGCTATGTCTAATGACATTTGTACCCAATATTTTCAGTTAAAATAATTCAGCTCTTAACTCCTTCTTTTTTTGACTTTTTAGTTCCAAATACCTGACACTCTCCTCTGCCCTTTGAGATGCCCTGTGATGTGTGAATGAGCGGGGCAGAGGCAGACTGAAAAACACCTATAGCAGAACTCTGGAAAAAAACAGTACTCCCTTCCCCTGCCCCAGTCAATTAACTAACTCCCAAACCAAAAAGCTCATTAGATGAGAGACACACAGTCACAAGGAACAGATGAAGACTCGGAGATAAACATGGAATATTTACCATTTTCAAAGTAAAACCGGTGGAAGTCCATCCCTTCTACCAGATTACCCAAAGCTTCAGGTTCGAAAGACGTAAGGCCTGGATCACAGATTTTTCTATGGAAAAGAGGAAATTCTGCAATGAGCACATGTGGTAGGGATCACCGCTTTGGAGAGATAATTTTTAATTGTTTCTTTCATTCCTATTGAATGTTTCACCTTCACACTGGAAGGTGAACTGCTCGATAGGAACATTTCACATTCATGCCATCACATTGGAAAAGAACAGAACTCAATATGAGGTGCAGGAATGGAGTTCTGGTTTCAGCTCAATTACTAAATTTAGCAGCTTACTTTAAGTGCACCACTCTTCATACAAATCACATTTTGACGAAAAAAAGACCCACAAGTCAGTGTTACTACAAGCAGGAATTTTTACTTGTGATGATGAAAATGGCAGCTGTGCAATGCAAGGGATATTTTTTTATGCCTCACATCATTATGAAAGGCAGATTTAAATATTTTCTTCTAACTACACTGGAGTTATACTAGCAGCTCTTCTGAAACTGGCGATGTGTGAAGCCAGGGAAAAGCAGCCATGCACATATCTTGTGTTTTGTGGGGGCATCTGGGAAGGCATTTCAACAGTACAGAACTCCAAGCACAGGCACTCACACATAACCATGCACATTTACACAGACATTGTCAAATACCCCAGCTGTCCTCACTCCCTCCAAAGGAGGAGCTTACGTGTAAGCTTCGAAGTCCCCGTTGTTGATGGCTTCAATCAACTGCTCAGTCACCTTGATAATCTCCTGCTTACGAGCTGGGGAGAGATACAAACCCAATCTTACAGGGGAAGGCAAAGTGGAAGGTGACAGCTGATAGGTATTCTGTCACTCCCCAGCTGGCACAACACCATTTCTCTTCCTTTCTACAACCAAAGGACATGATGTTACATTGTTGCTTTACACTGATTTACCTTCAGTGCACTCCTGTATCCACGAGGAAATTAAACACACGTCAAGATCAATCCACTTTCCTATCACACTTCTAATTATCCTTCCTTCACTGGAGGATCTGCTGTTTAAAAAGCCAGACAAACCAAGCCCCAAATCTAGACTTCAAACTCAAGGAGCTGATTACTCTTTTACAGCCAGTCTGGCTGGAGTAGCTCTGTTGTGCATGCAACAGTTGTACAGCACACTCCCACACATGGATTTGACCATTAACAAAAACATGCCTGGAATGTTAAAACCAAAAATGCAGAGAGAAATCACATTCTTCTTCAAAAGAAAATGCTGGGGAGCACACAGAGAAATTAACTTGCCAATGCTGTGCTCAGATCTGACACTGGTGTTAACCTTCTCGTTAGTGCACACTTAAAGCATTCAGATGAAAAGGATCAAAGAAACCAGCAAGGGAAAATGTGATGATGAAAAAAATGGATATAAAGGTCTACCAAGGCTTTTTGTGAGCAGCTCTTGACTGTTAGCACTGCAGCTAAGAGCATCTCAAGTATGAGTTGCCTTATTTTTCACAAGGATTGTGGAAAGAACAAAGACTTTTCAATGAAGAGAGCAGCAATGCCTCCATTATCATTGGTTTAAACAACATGGGGCAGACTGTGTGGACACTGCATGGCACTGCCAGCACCAGCCAAGCGGTGGGATGGCTGAGTCAGAAATAATGGTGCAGTCTTACAGAAGGCTGGCAAAAAGAGATCCAGAACAAGCAGACCTCGTGCAGTGAGGAAATTACCAGTTCTGCAGGCAACATCTCACATCCATATAGCTGAGCTAAAGGATTTGATTAAATAACCCAGTAACACATCTCAATCAGAGACAAGGAAATTACAGACCATTAAATCAGTGGGAAATGAGGTAAAAATCTCTGATCAGTTGCTACATAATCATGAGCTCGTGTTAGTGGATAACGATATAAGCAATTAGTATGTCTACAATGGTACTGCAGTTTCCACACATGAGAGGCACAAAACCACACGGACACATAATTTATCATCACTTGGCTCAAGACAGTTGGCAATATTCCCTTTTTCCACTAACATTAGTCACGCTTTTGCGGAGTTTTACCACAGTACCTTTGATGCTGAGATACACAAGATAAAATTCCACATCAACCTCAGGAAGGAAGAAATTGAACTGTGTTGCCAAATTGCTGGTTTTAGCTCCAAAATGAAATTGCAGTGGAACCTATGTTTTCATGAAGCTTCCTGACAGAAGCCACCTTATATTACATAATGGGGCTCCAGCAAAGTTTGTCTGGGCTGTACTAACACTCAGGGGAGCTGTGTCTGCAGACGTATCCATGGGATGTGAAACACATCCATCAGGAAGCTCCAGAGGCCAGCAAAGCCAGCAAAGGAGATTACTGCACTTATCACTGGCTCCAATCAATCACCATCCAACGCCAGCACTGGTGTCAGCACTTGTGGAAAGACTTCACAGTTCTCAATGCAGACTTGTCAGGAACAAGAAGATATTGCCAAATCATCTGCCTTTCAACTCACTCCTCAATTTTCCTACAAAATTACAAGCATTACATGAAACTACGAAAGCCACATTGCTGCTCTCACCTTTAGGTGAGACACACAATCACACCTATTAGAAAACTACATTTCTTCCTATTTAGTGATCTGATATGCACTTTCACTGGCAGTGAGCCAAAGGGAGAGGTGGGGCACAACTCAGAGAGAGGAGCTCCAGGAATGATTTATCCTATCGTGCAAAATTCTCTGCCTCCTTCCTAGCCTTTACTCAATACAAGACCAAGGCAGTGTGAAATAACAGCAGACATCAAAGACTAACTCAAATACTCAGGAGCCACTGTGCTTTTACACAAGCCTCCTCCTCATTTTTTTTAGCTTTTATGCCTTCTTGTGAGGGTATTTGTGGGGGTGCAGGGAGCCCGACTACAAACACAGACCAAAAGTGTTACTGCTCATTGTTGTTGAAGCAGAGGTTTAACCTGAAAGGAAGTAAGGAAGAGAAAAAAGATGGGAAAATGGAAATATAATAAGTAGAGAATTGGAAGGAGACTGGAGAGCAGCAGAAGGAAAATACAGCTGTGCCTTGGTGGCCATGTGCATCCAGTCAAAGCCTGGCACTTTCCCTTAGTGCACAGGATGAAATAGGAAGGGCACTGGACATAAACTAAGGTGAAATGGTATTGGTCTGAACAGTGTCCTGCTATTGCAGACAGCAACTGACACAAATAATTGGCAGTTTTTAGAGTGGTAAGAAAATTATCAAATTCTCACTCTGAGTTTGATGGGCTCCACATAACATGTGCTCTTTGATCACTCCAATTTTTTTTTCCCATTGAAATACACACTCCAAACTATACAAGGACAACACAAGGCATTAGGGAAGAGGCATCTGGCCAGTTCCCATCTGCCAGATAACTGTCACTTACAATCACCATTTGCATTTGACTTTTTCATTATTTATTTTTTTATCCAATAGTAAACTTGGCTTGTATTGAATTCTAGGACAATTATGCTGTTTGATGTACAGTGGCAATTTCATGCTATTATACTTTTCATTTGATGTGCAGTCAGGACTCCCTAAATAAAACTACAGCAACTAAACTTCCTAAACAAAACTGACAGCTGTAATGAGATTCTGATAAAACTGGTTCAGCTACTTTTTCCACAAAGTGTGGTGAAAGTCAGTTCAAAAAGTAAAGCCTTGACCCATCTATAGGTTTTTTTGAATATGACAGTGGTTTTCCACAGCATAAAATGTACATAAATACATGTAAATGTATTTAAATGTAAATAATATATGTACTCTGTACACAAAGGATAACTAAAAAATACACCTGGTGTCTTTAAAACAACTGAGGTGTGAGGAAAGAACACTGTTGACAAGTCAAAGGTGCTGAGCCATTTTCCTGAAAACCAAGAAGGAAACAGACTGCAGACATAGCACCTTGTGTGGAGAAGATGGTGGCTTTGACATTCTTTGCTCAGAATATGGGTGAAGTAAATACATTGCAGAAAAGACCATGGACCTGTTCAATAAACAACACCTTTTCCCCCGCAGGGTGAAGGAGTTAAGGTAATTAATAGGGGTTTAGCAGCTAAAAAAAAATAAACCCCCTGCTTTGGCAAGTGAACAGGTATATGACTAAGACAAAGGCAGTTGAAACAAAAACATTATGAAAAAGAGCTATAAAAAGACCAAAAAATAAGAAAAAGAACAAACATGAACATTTCCAATCACTGGCTAAAATGTTTTCTTCATCATTGCTACAGCACATATGTTAACTTTAAATGAGTCATTAATCTCTAGCTATATTGCACTACCTCTTTTCCTTGCTCAGCTACAGGGTGAGGGATAATCTTTCTAAATTAAAGACCACCATTAACACTAAGATCTAAACAACATAAAATGAGGAGAAACACCATTTAAGCAAAAAGCATCTAACATTATCAATACTTTCAATCTACAAGGAGCAGTTCCCCAGGTAGTGAAATCAAATATCACAGGAAAAAAAAGTGCAAAATAGCAGCAAAAACTGTTTTTCCAGCAGGGAAGTCTGGCTTTTCTTCCCTTCCTGTAGCCCCAAGAAATATTTATAAACTCAATCTACAAGAATCACACAGAAATGACAGATATTTTGGTATTTTGATTGCAGAGAGAACGTGCACTATAAAAATGAGCTGTAGATGTGAAAGTGAAGCCTTCAAACACATCTGTACTTGAAACTTCATGTTTTTTGACATACAAAAAAAGAGCCCTTGTAACTCACTGGCCACCACATTGCCCATCATTTTTTTCAAAATTGACCCCAGTGAAAACAATAATTTAAACCACTTTGTGCTTCATGCAGATATTGGAACATCTTTCTCCTGCCATCAGCCCTCCAGATGCCTGCCTGTGTCACCACTGTAGTGCAATGCCTAAGCAGAGAAGCACCTTCCCAGAAGAACAAGGTAACCTTGCTCCAGATTTGCACATGCACTTGGAGATGATTAAAATGATTTTGCTTCTGACTTGCTCACATGTTGTTTCTCAAAGCAAAAACCCTTAAAACTTTTCAACTGGGTACTTCTAACTATGTATCTCTGTACACCTCAGATTGGATTAATCTCACAATATTTTGGACACATATAAGTACAGACAAGTGAGTTTGTTCTCTCAACTCCTCTCCCTTACAGTCAAGGGAGAGAAACCAGCACTTTCAGGGCACAATTCATCATATCCTAAAATAGATTTTTAAGACAAGTGTGACTCATCTGACCTATTTGCATTGGCTGAAGAGTCTAGACAAGCAGCTCAAACACAGCCATCTACACTGTGGAGGAGGGCTAAATCCAGGGGGACAAATCCTCCCTGTTGTGCTGTTGTTTTAAAACAGGACAGTTGCTACTGAGGTGACTGTGGGCTGCTAAAATGGAATGGCACAGCAGGGGGAACCTGGCTTCACTTCCCATCTGAACATTGTCCCAACAAACACCAGTGAGATGGAAAGCACACAGCCAGTCACGTTATTTCTATCCTCTGGAAATAACCAAAGTCTGAAAAGAAAGAGGAAGATACTAGAAATTTTACCCTGGGTTGTATAACAATTTCTGGCTGTGTGGATGTACCAGATTTCATTCAGCTTTACAGCATGGACTGCTGAACATCACACAATGTTCCTACAAATGATTCTCATGACACCAATATTTGAAAATTCTACACTGATAATTTTTCTTACAATTTCTGCCACAAATATTCCAACTAAATAATTTCTGAAAAGAAAATAAAAGAACAGGCTGCATGAATAAATGACTGACTGGGTCTCAGATCTACATAAAACCCACTTAGATCATCAGATGACAAGGCACGCTCCAGGGGACTTCTCATTAAAGAAGTTTTTCAAGATTCAGCACACAGAACACCAGTGCTGTGCCCACACTGAACCTTAAACTTGGATAGGGACTTATACATCTGAGTTGTCATCTCACACGTGCATCTTTCTCCTAGAGCCTGCTGATTCCAAAGACTGCTCTGATTCATCCAATTATCAATAGATGGATGATCTGAAGAACTTTATCAGGGTTATTTGCTATCTCTGACCTATCTGAAAACTGGCAAGCCTGCTACTGCCCTAAAAAAATCTATCAAACAGATGGATGATCTGAAAAACTTTATCAGGGTTGTTATCTCTGACCTATCTGAAAACTGGCAAGCCTGCTACTGCCCTAAAAAAATTTAAATTTTTTACCTATTTAGGCAAATATGTGAAAAAATATTCTAGAGCTTTTCCAGTCCTGTACTGATAAAACAGATCCAACAAAATTTATGTGTCTATTTCAATTAATGTTAAGTAACTTGTCACATGCCATACATAGTATATTTTTATTTATATGGAATCAATTATGTCTAAAGATGCTCTCTCTTTATTTGAGTGTACTAAAAAATTACACTAATATTGATACAGCATAGCAAATGTTGGCAAATGTTTATTCTTTAATGAGAAATCACCTAGTCTCAGATCAAAGCTGCATCATGGTCACTGCACTTACAAGACACTGCACTATGGTTTCCCAACAATTTCATGGAATCTGGCCGCTGTCTCCAGAAACAGTGTCTGAAGTCTTGATGAGTAAGACATTAAGAAGCTTTGCTGCTGTGTTTATTTTTATTTAAACTGTGTTCCTGTCTACTCACTGAACTAGTTCAGAGAAACTGGACATGCGAGACGGCCAGCACTCACATCTGGAAATGCTGGGCATGTAAAGGATGTTGTGTGGGTATGCACCATGGATGGAATAAAGCCTCATGGCACGCGTACTGACGTGCCAAACCTCCATGTTCCACATGATCTCCATTAATTCCTCTCCTTTCCCTGCCTCTGGGCCGTTTGTGCAGGCAGGATTTGTACTTTAGTTTGATACACACTCACCCATACACTGACAGAGCCTATCCCACTCCAACCCCAGAATGAAGCCAGGCTTTCAGCATATCCTGGCAGCAGCCGTGACTGGAGACAGCCCATCCCCTCCGGAACTGGCTCCTCCCACCTGCACTAGCTGACCCCACCAAAAATTCCACTCATGTTTAAAATCAGGTTCAGGCCAATAACACACAGCCCATGTTCCCAAGGGCCTGCCTGCGGCCTGCCTGGATCTGTGCAAATTCCCATTCTTCTCACCAGTGCAACTATCCTGACACACTGGCTGCAGGATCAGAATCTGGCAAGCAGAACCCTCATTCCCAGGAAGCCATTCCCTGTTTCAACTCACAAGGTCTCACTCCTCCAAGGAATTTCTGAAGAGTTTCTGAGTTCATTTACAAACAAGAAATGCTCTACCCAGGTCTTTTAAATTCTACCAATCTACAATATGCCTTTCCCCTCTCATATTTTAACACTGGAGATTTCCTTTACTGTCAGTTGGCCACCAACCATCAGAGATCTCCTGAGCAGAGGAGGACATCTCCCAGTTGTCCTATCAATGCTGCAAGTTAACACCTGCCACAGCAGCTTCAAGGCTGATATATCAATGGGGATGCTCAAGAAAGGAACTTGATATAATAAATGTGACAGGTAATTAATGCTGAGGCCCTATCCAGGATCCAAGCAAGAGGTGAGGCAAATCTCTCTCCCTAAGTTGAAAACTACTGCAAAGATTACTCCTGCAAGATACAGCTGTCTGAAATACAGACATATTTATCCTGCACTTACAGCTGATGAAAATATTTTTACAATTAATAACAAGAAAAAATACCTAAAAATTTTACTTTTGTAAAGGCTAAGCACAGGTCATTCCTAGATCAGGTAGATCACAGAAATGGACCTTTTTTGAGCTTCTGTCAGATGGTGGGGAGGGAAGAGGAGAGACAAAGGAGATCATCTGACAGATGAGTCTCTCAACTTACATAGTACAGAGGAAGGAGTGGAGTGGGAGAGCTCAGACTCAAGCGATTGACTCTCTGAGTTTGCATTTCTCATGGACTTGCCCGCTGAATTGATGGAAAGAAACACAACATATGAACAAACAAAGATGAAGAGGTAGAGTGTGATCAGACTCCTCAGCAGGCACTGGCAGCAGGAGCGGCCTCTGGGGCACGGCAAGGGTGGTGACCAGTGGGATGAAGAAGCAATGGAAGAGGAGGAGTGGTGGGTGGAACTCAACCTCTCCATGTCCTCCTCCTTTGTGAAAGCTGTGTGAGGGTCAAGTACATGTGAAGGAAGAAAAAAAGAAGGCCAAAAGAAAAATAATGATAATTTAATTAGAAGCAGCAAGAACTTAGAAAATCTTTGAGCACAAAAACAATGTTAATGATGTACTTTCAGGGGCAGTGTGGGTACCAAAGAACAGTTGTAAAGGTCGTAGGTATGAGTGACTCTGTTCAGATGCCAGCGCAGATTTACCCCTGTATCTGGTACTCAGATACAAAGGGCTTTGAAAGAGCTTTGGAAAAACTGTTCTTAGAAATTTGAATGACTTTTAAGGAATGTATATTCCAAAAGAAATAGTTTAAACCGCTTTCTTTCTACTGTTAAATCAAGTTAGGCCAACAAGTATAAAATTAATTACAAATACATTAAGTATTTCGAGGCAATATACCTTCCAGATGTATTAAGCAGCACAGCTAAATCACAACTTGTCAAATCTGTAAGTGCCTTACAGCTCAGCAATTCCCCATTGCCAAGCATCATTCTTACTAATGCCTTTGTTAATTTGTCTCTGGGGGCAAAAAGACACCATGAGAAATTCAGATCTCCTGTCTATGCTAAATTTAACAACTCACCTTTCTGAAAGTCTGTGGACAAAAATAATGGTGCTATTCCATAGCATTACTTGAAAAATCACACCCATATTACAAAGATGCTGCCCAGTAGTAGTTCCAGTCTCATTACTACAGGAAGAAGAAATCCCCCAAGCAATCCCAGAAGAAGGCATTGCCTACAGTCCAGTTCTCAGCATGTTCTTCCTGTCTGCTCCTGTCATATTTAGGAAGGATCACTGTCACGCAGATAAGCCCATGATCGATGGTTAATGTCAGAAATTTATCTTAGCAAGGAACCTGAACTACAGCTTCAAGTCATTTCAGACTCAAATAATATAATTAGCTTATTGCTTGAGTTATTAAAGCTCACTGTTGTTTGGCAAGCACTCTTTCTACTAAAAGAAATATGTTCCAGTCCTGAAAGAGGTAAGTGTATACATAAACAAGGCAAAGTTACAGACACTAAGATTTCCAGTAAATAAAAAATTAAAAGTAAGCCTGATTTTGCTGTCTTCAAGTTAAATACCTGCCTTCAAAAGTGAAAACAGGGTGAGATCCTGACAGGAGGAGAATGCTCTGTGCATCTCTGACAGACAGGAGGAGAATTTGATCCTAAGGATACATTAATGATAGGAGATGTAAGACATTTTTAATTGCTCCCTGTCTTAATGAATCCTAACATTCCTAACACTTGGCACAGACACACACGTGCACTGGCTCCCACAAGACACGAGCGTGCTGGGGATGCTGTACCCCAAAACAGACCTGGGGGGCCACACCTCTGCAAAGAGGCAAATCAAGCCCGAAGAACAAAGCCCCTGATGCAGAGCTGGATGTTTGCAGCCCCTGTAGGCTGCACAAAGGAAGGGGCCCTGGCCCTGTCTGTGCAGTGCAGGCACAGTGTTGGCATACATAATGCACACAGCCTCTGCAGAGCCATTCCCTGGGAGGTGTGGATCACACTGCAATGCCATAACACATACTAATACTGCTGCTCAGTTACAGCCACAGCCCCCTGCTCCTTCCCAGGAAGGACAGAGCCTCTTCCCATGCTGTACTCCATGCTGAAACAAAAAGCAAAAAGGTCTTAAATAAACGTTCTTTATCATCTAAATGCAAAGCATTCCTTCTAGGTCTCAAAAGTGGTGACAAACATCTTGAGTCATCTTGAGCATACATGTAAGAACCTGGAGAATTCTCTCTCCTGCCTCTGAAATCCATTTGTTCCTATCAGTATTTTATCTCCAGTGGCTGTTGCTGACAAGAGAACAGCTTTCTCACTGTTCTCCTAGAAAACATACATCCAGGAGTCAAGCTTGGTGTGGGGGGGAAATCTTTCCTAAGTGCCTTGCTAGGACAGGAAGCTTGAGCTTCTAATGGGTGCCAGGGATGCAGGACTGCCTATTCCCTGAATCATTCTACAAATTAGACCCTGGGGGCACTGTTAGCTTTAATTTATAATAAAACAGTATGAACAACAGCCTCCAGAGGAAAGATGGGACATGTGAAAGGAATACTAAAAAGGGAAAAACAAATAAGTTCATGAACAATTAATAAGAGGGAGGTTATATTTGTCTTTTAAACAAACAGAAAATTAAATCCCTGTACACTGCAGGGAAAGACACAAACAGGATCTTGTTCCTCAGACCTGTGCTTCCTACATGACCCCTTTTCTGGTTTGGGAATACCATATATTGTAGCCATCCAACTTGCCCTTAACTATGATACTGCAGAATCATCTAAAAGAATTAGGCGCATAATTTTCATCGTTGTTTTTTTGTACAATTGTATCCCCTGAGGTACAATTCTGTGTCGTAAGCTTCAGACAGAATGTTCCAAAAATGCTACTGTAATAACACTACATTACATCATCATACAGAGGCCCTGTAATTAAATTATTCATTTCATAAACTTAGTTGTTAAACTACATCAAATAGTTTGAAGAAAGAAATACAAAGCATTATGATTAAAGGCAAATTACACTGTATTTTCCAATGCATCAGCTGCAGATCCCTATAATTGTTCTCTCCTTTTACAGTAACTCAAAGCACCACCAGCACCTTGTTGCATCCATTCTCCCTGTTTTATCTCACTATCACCTCTGGCCCACGTTAAACCTGTACATACACCATTGTTCTTTGAGGCCAAAAGCTAGACTATTTTGTGAATCAAAGACATACAAACCAAATACTCCCTTTTTCAAGCCCTTTGTATGTTAAAACATAATGCTATTGAAATAGGTATGTGTAACACCACAGCATAATGTTTAGAGCAGGGAAAAATGGAAACAAATACCTGTGAAGCTACAAAACCAGGTTTATAAAAAAGTTTTGATGTCAGTTTTTTAAAGAATAAAAGAAGATTAAAATAAGTGTATGGACAGAACAAAAGGAAACCAAAAAATACACTGGCATCTGAACAGAATAAAAATAAAAATGGTGACATGAAAAAAACCAAACCAAACCAAAACCAAACCCAAAACACAAATGCATGCTAAACATAAACTAAGTAGAAGTTACAAAGCACTGACTTAGACATTTATAACCTACTTCTATGACTACTGGAACTAATATCTTAGTCAAAAAGCAGTAACTTGATACTCTGAATCCCAAAACATCATGGGAAATGGTGTTTTGGGAACTGAAAAGTTACAGTTAAGTCTGAAACATGTCAAAAGTAATTTCTTCTAAAACAGGAAAACCACTATTGTCTCCTAAGATTCGTTAGGGGTTTCTGTGTTTAATGGCCTACTGAAATACACCCACAAAACTCATGTTACTGCTTCTCCAAACATTTCCAACATAAAATCATACCTTTCACATCCTCATCTTCGATGGTCGTGTTGGAACTCTCTGTTGATTCCTGTTGAGAAGTAAATATGAGTCAAATGTATAAAACAAGGCAAGCCTTATTTGTGTGCCTAGGATAATGACAGGATTAGTTACAAGAATCATGCAAAGCCTTGAAGCAAGGTGGGATGCCATTCACAAACAAATGGTCACACACTGATTGAGACATTTCCACCTGAAATGGATGTCAAACATTGCCATTCTCCACAGGAGGGAACAGAAACACAATTCCTGCACTCTGATGCTTTTACTTCACAGGAATGTACAGGAAAGTTTTGGTTTTTTTACATCCAACTCTAAAAAGTCCATCTGAAATGTATTAATTACCTCAGCCAAGTAGGAGTGCTTGCCATTTTAAGCTTAGTGATTAAACCAACTGTGCAAAATAAGTCATTCCATTCCAATTCCACCTTCCAAATATGCAGGCTTCTGCAAGCTACAATTTACAACTGATTTCCTGCTTCTGTGACTTATGCAATGTATATTCAAATGACAGTGATCTGAAGCATATTGGATCAGATGATCTCATTTTTACATTGGTTTTTGTGATTTTTTTTAAGGAGATGTAGAATTGATGAACATATGTTAAGAACTTTGACAAACTAAGGCATCTTTGTAGCAGTATTCTTCAACCAACCAGTCAAGCAGAGGAATGACTCATCTATCAGACAGTTCATTCTTAAGCCATGACACTTAAAAAGGCAAGGATATTGTATCTCAGTCTTTCCTTAATTACCAGAAACATGAAATATAATGGGCAAATTCAACAGGGCACTGTCAAATCTAACAGCTGCAGAGAGTTTTAAGCTAGATGTTTTTTTCATCTCCATACTTTCTTGAAAAGTAATTTTTTTTTATTTGCAGCTCAATAACAAAAAATATTAACTGATCTCTTTTTATCTTAGAGAGAAGACAGGACTGGTATTGTATTTAATTCTTGAAAGGATTTGAGAATTACATAATGAAAGGTAAATTTGCCAGTGCCCCTCATTTACTGTGTCCTCACAAGGCTGAGCCAAAGGAACATTCAAGAGGGCTAATGCATTACACAGACCTTCCAAACCCAAATGTGCATTGATAAGTCAAACCAGAGGAATTAAGTCACACACAAACAAAACTGAACAAGCCACCATGCTGTCCCTGCCCTGGCTGTGTTAGACATTCCACTCTACATGGACATATCATGCTCTAGCACTTCAAATATTAGATAAAGTACTCACAAGTGAACAAAAACCTCACACAAATATGAGTTGTAAACACCATGCAAAGCTCACAGGGCAGATGTAGCCTCTAACACTGAAGCATCCACTCCAGTTGCCACAGTGACTACAAGGATCAGTCTTTCAGATAAATTTAGGAGGAACTCTCCACATTAAGGGGTTTGTTTGTTTGCTGTGACCTTTTGGGACATTGAGTATCTCAGTTGTTGAGATAATGTAATAAAATCAAGTAGATGTAGTCGTGCCAATATTTTATCTGGGTTTTCTGGGCTTTAGTGGACTTCAGCGATAAAGATCAGCCTGCTGTTCAAGCAGGCTGCTGGAGGCCTATGAGTTTAAACTCGGGGAGCTCAAAGAGTAGTTACATGAAAACACAAGTTCTGTGCTGGACAGACGCAGGGACATAAAGGACTGGGACACACAAGCACAACACACACCATCAGCACTTCCATGCTTGAGGAATGTCTGCATGCATTATGTCGTCACTCAGATCCAATCCTTCTCTTATGAAATAACCACAGGGAGTTAAGACTAGATAAATGGGATGTGAATTAAATCAGCACTGCAAACAGTGAAATTCTTGTTCAAGCATAAATCCTTTTCAGGAAACCTAGGAACATGTGTTAATGTAAATGATGGTATTTCCTGGCCCTTTTCAAGTCCATGCATGAAAAAAACAAAACAAAACACATTTTAGGGATCAGCTGCCAGATGCAAACATCACAATACATGAGAAAAAGAAAAGAGCATGAAGAAAACACGTAAAAATCAAAAGACCTCTTTGTCACTTGAAATGTGAATTTTTTTTTTTGAAACTGCCCAGTGATGTTATGGAAGAAAACCAAAGTCCTGTGCAAAAGACACATCACGACACAGTGTATAAGCATGCTGAGAAACAGCAGATGGAATAAACGGAAATGACATCTTTGTCTGGGGTGATGACTGCACGTAAAACTGGCCGGGATCATCTCACCACACTCTGAGAACAGCACTCTTAGGTTTCCCTTAGACTGCAGCATTTTTGGCTGCAATGAGAGAGACCCCCTGCTCCCCGAGCCAGGCTGCCCAGGGCACTGAGCTCTGCCCATTGCTACCGACTCCCCCAAGAGCTTCAGGAGCTCAGAAGCAGCAGGACGCACGCAGCAGATGGACACAGATGAGAAAAGGCTTGAGACACACTGGGTGTAACAAATGCAGGAATGAGATTTTTCCTTCGCAAATTCTTGGAATGGCCCTAGTATGCTGTGGAATAGTGGATGGAATGTGTGGTGTGGAAAAGCAAGATGGAGTTGATTCTTTCTGAATACCTTATTTCCATCAGGGTTGTGGATTACTGTAGTTTGGGGCTCCTGAGCGAGAACAAAATAAAGAGAGAAAGAGTTCCCATTGGTAAATACATTTTCATTGGTGTGAGGGAGCGCAAGAAGAGCCAGCTCACAAATGCTGAACACTGACAAGAGTTAAAACAAATGTTAACTGTCGCCAGGGGGTGAAACTGGATGTCTCTAACACAGATTTCCTCAACAGCAAGCCAGCAAAAAAGGCCATCTCACCTAAAGCAGCAGCATGCAGAGACCTTATTCAGGACCAGGGTGCACAGGGCTTTGAAGCTCTGGGGACCTGCAGAGGCTCTTCTGGACAGTAGCAGGCCAAATGCTCCGTGGGCTTTCCTGTCTGAACCTGGACAGGCAGGGCGGCCACCAATCTTTAAGCTTTAATAACTTCTTCTCTTTAATTATGTCTGCTTGTATTAGCATGAAGTGATCAAATCGAAATACAGTGGAATTGATAAGGGTTAAGGATGACTACCCCCAGACACTACTATGGTTTGGAATGCGTGGATTGCCCTCAACTCCTGTCTTGGCAGAGCTGCATAAATCCAAGTGAGAGAGAGCTTTGTGCCATGTAAAAGTGTAATTTCCCCAAATCCTTTAACTTGAACAAAAAGGTTCAATAATCTTTGAAATGGCAGTTAGTCAGTGTGCTTTCAGCATGGGCCATTGGGCAGGGCTCCGTCTGGGAACAGACTGCCATAAACTCCTGCACACAACCTGCTGACTTAGGAACTTGGTCTTAGGAAGAACTTAGTGCATGCCTCACTGTCAGCTGCTCAAAAAAATTGCAGAAGAACAATGCTTCCAAATGTGTGTGAACTACCCCATTTTCAAAGTTTTATGTGCCCATGGAAAACAACAAGTCACAACATGATGTACTTTGGCACTGGCATTTACATTGGTGAGCCCTGTGATACACAGGTGCCCTAGAAATAGAGCTATTAATAAAAGCCAGACTGCAGTAAACATCCAGGAACATCACTTTGACTTGTAATATGTCCTTAGCAGAGTTTATTAATGAATAATGCCTCCTGCTGATTTAAATGGAAGAGAAACAAGCAAAATGTTTAGCTCTAGATGCCTCTTGATCCCAGAGAAATCTTGCAAAGTCCTGCTGAGTTTCAGGAAACACGGAATGAAAATCTGAATAAGGTCTGTTTTATGGCAGCCTAGTAATAATCCTGTTAGCTCTCCTGGATGTCAATACTTTAACTAAGACAAAGCCGAGAAAATAATAGAGCAAGTTTTAAAAAATTTTGTTGGTGCAAAAGGTTAGCATTAGAAAGTGGAAACAGTCATCAGGCAAAGAGCTAAGAGCAACACCAAGCGCATTCTACTCACTTTCTGGCACAGCATGCAAAAAATTCAGCTATGGTTACAAATGCTACGACTCTACCGCATCCAGCTTCCATTTAACATTTTCTGTCAATAAACACGCTCTAACGGATTTCCTCACAAAAAAAAGACAGCATAATTCAAACAAAAAGGTTTTCCAAAACCTGTTTTTAGAAAGCAAACAGAGTAAATGCATGAAAAAGCCAAAAAGAGGGAAGGAAAAAAAAAAACGGAAGAACAAACAGAAGACAGTCAAAAACTTCCAGACAGCATGAGAAGGAAAATTCCAGGTATACCAGCGCCGGGGTAGGAATATTTTCCTTGGGGCTGGTTACCACGTTGGTTTTGTTGTTTATCTGTAGGTATGCAGAAAACAGAAACAGACAGGCCTTAGAACTCACGGTAGGCACCGTATCTATATCTCTGCACACAACATCTATAGACAGGTATCGGTATCTATAGATAGATATAGATATGGAAATAAAGAATACAGAAAGATGAACTTAGGAACTTGCAGGAACACTGACACTAACTCCGGGAGCTGGCTGGCAGCTCCTCCCCACGCGCTGCCCGAGCCCTGCACCAAGGTCTAGGTAAGGGACGGATGAGTTGAGCTGAGACACTTAGCAGAGAGCCCTTAAGTAGCAGCTAAGCACATCTAAGAAGAATAAAGAATTAATACGGGTTGCAACAAAGTCCTAAATAGTCACTGTCATTTCGTGACATGTAGTGGTGTTGGGTCATTGCACCCAAGAGCTCTTTATTTCTAATGAGTTATCCCTACCATAAAGAACATTTGAGTATTTGTAGCACTTCAAGAATCTGTAATTTGTTCTACTGGCTTCTGATTCCACTTTGGAATAAATGTGACTGATGCTAGGAAGAGACTTGTGCCCCTTGAGCTTTTTTGGTGCTATTTTTAGCAGACAATCACTGGCAGCTTCTCAGTGCTGGTACTGTGACTTGCAAGTACCCGTTTCCCACTATGGTACCTGCAGCCTCACTCCAGCCACCAGCACCTCTCTGTTTAAATTTACATAAATTTACATATAGGTCCTCACAATACTTTTTAAGCTTAGCACAGTGCTACAACTTCTGGCTTTTATCTGAACAAAATATTAATTCAAATTAAACTGCTCAGCAGGAAGTTTCGAAGTATCCGATCCTTTAAATCCATTTTTTAAGATTTACCTTCATTAACACTATGGAGTATGGGAAGAACAGAAATACTAAAAATAATGTAGCGAGCTGCTTTTTACATGCACTAAGAAGCGAGACTCAAGTACTGTAGAACTCGTTTGAAAGATGTATTTTTTCCTCTCTAACTATAGTGAGGAAAAAATATTATGTACATTTTGGTACGTCTGATTTTAACAAGGGTGGTCCAAAGCATCATGCAGAACTAGGTATATAGATGCAGATGATCTGAAAAGACTTTAATCCAAAAAACCAAGTTCTACTGAACCTTCTAGTCATAGTACTCAGTAATAAGTGTGCAAAGCAAAACCAGAAATGCCTGAAATTGTTTTGTTAATGGATTTTCCTAAAATGTAATTAACTTTACGGAATGGAAAGAAATGCAATTCACAGACTCCATGTCCTTAGCACTTGATGAGTATTATTTTACTTTGGGCCAGGCAGGGCAGCTGACTTGTGGATTTCAGGAATTGAGCCTGCAGCTGAAGTGAATCTTACTTAGGATACGTTTAAATTATGGAAATGTCCACAGGATTTGCAGTAATGAATTGCAGACTGCAAATTTTCTAATTTTTAACCAGCATTTAACTGGCTTTGAAGAATATAAAGTAGTTTTGTTAGTTAATCAGGGAACATGATGTTAACACTAGATGTTATTTAATAATACTTGTGATAGATACTATTTTCCTGTATAGAATACAAATAATATTCTTTGATTTAAAAGCAAAGTTCATGATGCTCTACAGCAGGAGGATGAGGAGCAGTTATCTTTTAAACAATGGTCTTTCTGCAGAAATTGTCATAAAGAGAACACATGAGTCATTATTGAGTTGCAAGTGATTACGCCCTGACTTGGCTTACTTATTGTCAAATAAATTTCATTTCTCTATGCACAATTGCAGCTGTAAGCTGTAGGATTTTCTGAAGTCAGGACAGGGAGAGAATAAACACTTTTGTGCATAAAGTCTTTCATGGGGAGGTCTAAGTACTGGCAAGTATTTTACTTGCTTGGATATTTATGGGCTTCTGAGATGGGCAGAACTCTGGAGTCCTTACTTTAAAGAAAACCTCATCCATTTCAGTAAATGAAAGTTCTACTGGAGATCTGTAGAAGAGCGGGAACACAAACAAGGCTGCTTGACAGCAGACTAAACCTTCCAAGCAAGACAAAATTTGCATATCGAGTTGCATAACAACAGATTCATATTTTTGTGTCAGTGTAGTCATTGAGAGACTAGATTAAAAAGACCCTCGCAAAAAGTGAATAGACATAAAGGAAGAACATAAGGAAAGCAATGAAGATTTCACCAGATTTCATACAGTCCTATTCAGTAGCAGCTTAATACACAAGCTCAAGTGGTATCACAAATGAGTGCTCTTGGTTGAATACATAAGGAAAACAGGTTAGTCAAAGTTCAATTCCAATTTGGCCTCAGTAAGGAGAGCAGGCTTTGGTCCATACTCCCTGGGTGAAAGCCCTATGAAAAGAAACAATATCCATTACAGCTACTGCTGAAAACTGCAGGAAATCTATTCAAAACTTCTTCAGTGAGATATTGAGAATCCAGCACTCATCAGGAAGAGAGAGAGAAAATGTGATTCAAAATACAGTTATTTCTTCCATGTAAACAGAACTTGGTAAAACCCTTTGAAACTTTGTGAGAAAACAGCAATAAGCTGTACATGTTTTCTCTCTCATAGAACAGAGACATCCATCTAGGAACACCTGGTGCATCCTGCATGTATTCTTAACAGCAAAGGGAAACCACTCCAAAAGGATTACAATATTGTCCTATGAAACAGTTCCTTCAACACTGATTTGTGCTTAACCAGTGACCTTCTGTGTTGTGAAGGAGAATGTTTTATTGCTGCATCACTTGCCAAAATTCACTCTCTGAGGAGTGACAGTAGTGCAGGACAGACATACATGCACTCCAAAGAGCTGGGCACAACTCGGCCTTTTTTCCATAGAATATGAAAATATTTTAACAAATCAAGTCCGTGTCTTGGCGCTTTACCTTTCACATGCTACTTCTGTGACAAAGAGTTAACACACATTTCAGGTTTGGGATCCTGGCAATAACCACACTGCACCTTCCTGGTGCCCCTCCTTTGGATGCTGTGGCTCCTGCCACTGGAATTCTGCATTCACCCAAGGAACAGAGGCTTTACCTACATAACTGCATGGCCAGCAGTTTTTGCTTTCCAAGGAGAGTTGGCTTCCCAGTGAAAGCTGTGGATGAGGGCCCTTTGCCTTCTCTCTGCCAGCAGCAGCAGCAGCAGGCAGGGCCCATCTTCACGAACACCTCAAAGGTCACATTCAAAACCACCAGAAACAGCAATAGAGGAAGTTACTGTGCGGGGTCACGGAGGCCAAATGAGCACAAGACTGGAGAATAGGTTGAGGAGGAAGGACAGTTAAGAGACCATCAGCTGGGACATTCTGGGACACAACCCCGAGCTCTGGAGCAAGCTAGCTGGGAAACCAGTGTGGGAAGGCTGGGAAATTGGCTTTTTTCTCCTGAGCATTTAGCATGGCATCTTGGGCTAGGTGACTCAATTAATGCAGTACCATATCACTGTGTAACTTGTTTTGTGTTACATTTTACTGTAATGTTAATACTATTAGCTTTTTAAATAAGGAAGTTTTAAAAACAAAGAGAAGGCTGTTACAAGATTACTATTTTGTTACTATTCTTATTTACTAAGAACAGCTGCATTGGCTGATGTTACATCTACTTTTTTGGCTTTTTATGTCCCCAGGTTAAAAAAAAGTAAAGACTTGCTTGAAAGAATGACTGAACATTTCACTCTGGATGGCATATAGCAACTGCAGGCTTAAAATTCACAAGATTGTACTTTAAAGTCTTGCAGTTCTCACAGTAAGTTAACAAAGCTAAATGCAACTGTTTGATTTCTAAGTGTGAATGTTTCACAGGAGGAAAAAAAATCTGTCGATAAAGATCCTCACCATCATCTGAACACTCGAACTGGACTTCCTTTTCTGAATTGACCAGTCAGAGAGAAAGGAAAAGAAGAAAACGTGACTGGTTGAACTTGCAATATCAATGCATGGAGTACAGTATATTTCTCTTTTGGCTTTTTTTTCTTTTTTAATATGAAAAAGACAGCTACAGCTGTTGGAAGGGCTGGAAAAATGCTACAGAGTATCTCAATAACAGCATCTCAATAACAGCATTGACAAAACCAGACTTTCCCAGATGTACATTTACTCCCTCTGCTCCACATGACCATGTGGGCTAACAGCAGACACATAACATATGCTGAAAACCAAAGAACTGAATCCCAACAGGTGAAATTTAGGCAAAATTTTGGCAACAATTGTTTCCTATATTATAATTGAGATTGCGATAGAACAAACAGCATCGTAGACCTGTAGGAGGAATGATATTTAAAAAGGAAAACTGGTCAGAGAGAGTGCATAAATTTTATCTATTCCACAATGAAACATGGTCAGGGTTTCCCAGCAGTGATAGAATTGTTCCAAATGTGTGCTTCTCTGTGTGAATGGGATCTCCACTGCTTGGCAGTGAGAAACAATGCAATAGTACTGTACTCATTTCTTTGTAGGTCAGGCTCGGGATTTTTTGATTGGCAAAGTGTCCATTTGTCAGACAGCAGGCACAAATATACTCTGAATCTGGTATTTAAGCAAGTATTTATAATGTTTGGTTAAAGTAAGACATTAGGATTAAATAAGAAATTAAAATTCAGGTCAAAGACACCCTTCTGAATAAACACACAGCACAGAAGAATATCTTTTGAATCTTATAATGAAAGCTTGAAGCATTATATTAGTCTTTAACAGTACTGTGAGAAAAGAAAACAAAATACATTTTCTGCTGAGTGAGGTTTTTTTCCTCACTCAGGTATTAATGCAGAATGTTCATTTGTGAAACATCTCTCCTCCTGCAGGGTCTGGTGACGTGAGAACAGGAGCTCTAAATCACATACGAAAGCTGCCAAAATGTTCCCTTCTTAGCAAGGTCTCTTAGGATGAGCTGATCTGAGACAGTAAACCCCTCAAGTTCTGCCAAATATAGCAAGTACATCTGGCAGAACACACCTCATGTGGAGCCAAGCCTACCCATACACTTTTGGTCTTCCACGAAATCTAATGGAAAGTCAAGGGGAAACAAAGAGGCAACAGAGCTGCACATAAACACTGATGTCTAAAAAGCCCACCACCAAACCAAGTTAACTGATAACTCTGAGTCATCAATTACATAATCATTATTAATTACATAATCATAATTACATAATCATTCTCCATTAAAAAAGCAAGAAAAAGCATTTTCTCCAGTAGTTTTCTATTTTCTGCTTGTTTAATGCTGGCTTTTCAAGTATTTGTTTTATTTCATCTCTAATTTTCAGCTACTAACTTGAACCACTCTAAATGGCTAGTGAGAAGCACTTACTAACAGAATCTGTGAAGGAGAGAAATAGCAATAATCAATTCTAAAACCTGGCAGAAGTTACAGACAGGTGGAGACTAAGAATATGTCTTTGAAATGGAAAGCAGGTGTTTAACCTACCTTAACTCCATCCGGCTTTTTCAGTAAACTCTTGGCTGCTGTAAAACGAGACAAATAATTTCAGTGTCAGGTGGTTCGCCTGAGGTCACCCAGCTGTGCAGCAAACCCCCCCAGCGCCTCCCAGCTCCAGGTAAGGTCTCGGCTTTTCTTTGCTCCTTTTGTTTCTCTGAGCATGGGGAATGAAATCCTTAGGAAATCACCAGTCTTTAGGATTATCAAACGTCTCTTTTTCCATTGACTAAAGCTGTAGGTTGACTGTACTTCTACAAGGAGAGAGCTCCTTGGGTGGCAGAGAGGAAATGGAAGCAGGGTGAATGTAAAAGCAGCAGCTTTGGCTATATCCATTTCCTCAACTGCAGAATATTTCTACTGGATGGCAGGGACAGTTTGATGTGACTGTGCAAAGGTATTGTTGTGATGGCAGGGACTTGGACCAGGTGTCTGCAGAGCCCAGTGGCATCTCAGTGATGGTACCCATATGCATAATGCCCCTCTGGGGACTTCCCACCATGACAGCAGCAGCCTCTTTGCGTGAAAGGGCAGCACACTTGCAAGGAAGAAAAGGACGATTTGCTAGCGAAGGGTTGTTTTGGAGGGTTGCTGCCTGTGAGGCAATAATAACAAATTCTAGGCTTTGTTTCAGCTCCTAATGAAGAAAACATGCTATTTTCTGAATCATGTTGCACACTGATCAAATTTCTTCAAATTTTCATTTGCCATAATGTTGTTCACATGCCAGACTTTAAATTCCACCACTTAAAACTGGCATCAAATAATTCCAATTTACTAAATTTGGAAGGCTAACGTGCAAACAAGCACAGCACAGCTCTGAACCTGAAAACATTCACAGCAGAAATACATGCTGGCTGACCTACCAAATCCATATAAACTATTCACTAAAGCGTAAATGCTTCATGAATCACTGCCAAAGACTTGAAGAATAATAAATTACACAACAAGCCTGCTGTTATTGGGGTTTTATTGTTGTTTATGACCCAATCTTCCCATCAGAAAGTGTTCTACAGCTGAGGCAGTGAGAATTTGCTGTTCTGTATATAGGGGAGACAAGCCCGACATGGAGCTTCCATCGTTACTGGCATCCTTATCTTAAAAAAAACCCAGAACTCCAAATCAATTGGACCAAGGCTGCTCAGACTAGGGAGGATACAGGAGTTACTAAATTTACCTTCAAAGCTAATTCTTGTAATTGTGGCTTATATTTTGAGCTACATGTGCATTTAGTGCTCATTTTATAGCACAGAAATGTAGAATCACCTCAGCAACTGTACAGAAATGACTAATGTCCATTATTGTGTTGTTTACATGAAATAAACCCTGGAAAGTGAAGCCAGGTTGATGTTTCTAACTTCATTAACATATCAGCCCTCCAAATGCAGTTCAGTAACTATGGACATCAGCCAACACTACCATTAGACCTCCCACACAGCCACATCTTACAGCTAAAATGAACAAAAATATGTTTGCTTGTATTGTGCAGCAGTACCACTGCATGTATTTATTTAAAGAAACATGAACATAAATATTGAAACCAAATTGTTCTCCACATACTTTGGAGATTGGACACTGCCTGTGGCAAAATGTGCTTTCAGGACCTGAGGCAAGAGGGCCTTAGATTTTTCATTACCACAAATCTTGTGGGCACTCCATTACCTTCAGGAATTTATTTAGGGAAAGCAAAGGGAAGGAGATATTTCTGAAACCTAAGGACAAAAAAACCCAGAAGTTAATAGCTTTCAAAGCCTGTTTTATACCCTTAGCCCTTGTAAAAAGATGGGAAAACATAAATCAATTCTTACAGACTGCTGTCTAAATTTCACTAAATTTGTGCATGAAACTTCTGAGTTCTTTTGATGCTTGACAAACACTACATGTTCTATGCAAACAGTTCAATGAGAGGCAGTAAAACGAGGGCACCCCAAGCAATGACACCGAGTATTTCTTGCGCGCAGGGCGCTGTCGGCGCGTCCCTCAGAATGTGCCCAGCATGGATTACAGGACATACCCTGCCACTCTGCTGCCTCTGGCCTGCAATGCATTTTGAATAGGACTTGGATTTATCTTTCTTGAATCACAGATGCTGCATACAAATCAAATATTTAAAGAATTTGCAGGAGCAAAGCAATCAGCATATTCTAAATTAAGCCCACAATGAGAGATTTCTTGCAACTACAAGCAAGAGCTAAAAATAAAACCTAAGGCAGTTCTACTAGGCCAGAAAGCAGACTGGAAACAAATGGTTTGTGACAGCATGGAGAAATTAAAGTGATTGAGGACAAACAGCAGTTTGGATTGAGAAGAGAAAGAAGATGTTCCTTTCACGTGCTGAGGGTCTTACCTCACAAGAAATACACATTCCACATAAAAGGAAGAAAAAAAAAAAGGAAAGTAAAACACTTTTATAACCACATCATTATGGACAAATGACCTTCATAAGCATGCTTTGCAGTGAAATACAATGAATAAAAAACCGAAAAAATAAAATGTCATCAAGAAAAAACCACGTGTGGCTATGGTTTAAAAAGAAGAGATGTCAGGTGAAAAACCAAAAAAAGCCAAAACCCCTGTTTGCTTTTCATGCTGAAATACTGTTTAAAAACTACTTCAGCTTTTTCAGTTTGTGGAAGTCAAATTTGATCCTTACATATATAGACAGTGACAGTTATGAAAAGGGATGAGGAATGATTTGTTTGTTTGACATTTAACAGTAATTCATTTTTACAAGAAGCACAGCCTACAGCCTTCCCACCTTTTAAATGAATTGGCAGACACTGGAATTCATTAAGCACTAACTCAAGGTAATTTAGATTAATGTGGTCCTCTGTGTTTAGGTGTGTATTAAAAAAGGGAACTTAACTAAGAAAGAAATTGTATTTCAAGTACTATGCAAATTGAACAAGTTGTTCTGTGTTCATGATTATGTAATTTTTTTGGATGAGTCAGTGCTTATTATTATTCCAAACATGCCCAGAGCACTATCATGTTTTTGTCTGTACAGTAATTCACGTTACACTCCAATAGTTACATCACAGAGTAGGAGGATATGTAAAATTACTGATTTTTAAATCTGGTGTTCTATTTCACTATTCACTGGAAATCTCAAATGGCAAAATGAAAAATTCAACACAGCATCAATATTCTGGCAATTCTACTACTCTGGACAATTCTAATTCTGCTAAGAGCAATTTTAGCTTTTGCTATTAGAGCTTGTTTAGTGTAAGATCTAAATCTTTTGTCATCAGGACAAAACTGTTTCATTAAGAGGAAACAACTGTTCTTACATCCAGCTAGGCACTGCTGAGCATTAGAAAGAAAATGGGGACTCGTGTTACTACATTTCTTATTCCTCAGCAAAGCAATAAAGAAATGAATGTGTACTGATGATATTTTTAATACAGGATGCAACAGAATCATGGAATGGCTTTTCACATATATAAAAATATCTAAGTTCTAAATGTTGTTTGGTGATACTTGTGCATGTGGAGCTATACGCCTAACTTTCAATTTGCCTGCACCAAAATAGGCATGAAAATGCTGCCTGTCTTTGACAGGTAACAATCAAAAAGCAGGGAAGGAGCTCAAATTCTACAGAAAAATCAGACTGTCACCTGTAAGAGAATTTCTTTGGCCCAAAGAGATTAAATTCTTGTTTGCTTCATCACAGGAAGTAATACAACGTATATCACACTTAGATGCTCCTGAACAGGTCCTAATTAGACCTCAGCCTTCACAGACATTAAAATATAAAAACTGCATCAATGTGGAGCTCAATGAACATACCTGAGAAATTTCTGGTAGCCAGCATTGTTGTCAAAATGGCCCCCTGTGTACACACACATTTTCTCAAATTAGCATCACACTTGTGTAAAACTCCAAATGCCAACCCAACAAGAAGGAAAATACACAAGTAAATGACACCAATTAATGAATTAACCCTGAGAGAATGGATTATCTGTGCACTACCTCTCATAAGCCTTGTCATGACTGCATACATCATAATTTAATCTTAATTACACACCTATCAGCAATCTTGATATCTCAAATATTTACCAACTGTCAGTATGTAATGCACAAGCCAGGAGTATTCAGAGGCTCAGCAATTATTCCAAATACATAGATGAATATGAAAGAGGCATTACTATTGTTCTTAGATTCTTTTTTTTTTTAGGGTGGAATAGGAGCTTATTTGTAATATACACATTAGACAAGTTCACATCTGCAAAGTTATCATATCTGGCCAGGGAAAAACAAAGCATAATTCAGAAGAATAATCTAAAAGATTTTCCTTCAAGAGCATACCTTTAGTGTGTCTAAATACAAAGGATTATAATAGTTTTGAATTAAAAAAGAAAAGCCAAATTCTATTCACTTTCATGGAAAGTTTAAGATCTTCAAGGCAAAAGCTGATTTTCTGTCAATAGGTCATTTAAGAAAAATATTTAGAAAAACTCTGCACAGAGACCATTTGTTTTGCACACTGAACACAAGCACAAATTTTCTTTCTTACCTTTAGTTTTCTTCTTGCATTGAATTTCTTCAAGCAATCTACAGTCTCTTGTCTGTGCATCATAGAGGCAACAGTAGAACGTTGCTGAGAAGAAGAAAATAATTACTTTAAGACACCCAGCCAGCTGTTTAGCAGTTTGGTTACTCTACAACACACATATTACAATTCATAGTCCCCAGCTTGGGCCTTTAATTTCTGCTTTGTCTGACTATCCCATTGTGCTCCTTTTACTCATCCTTTTCCATGTGTAAAGTCCACTTGAAAAGTCTTGGTGTGGAATATACTGAGAACAGGAGAAAAGTCCTGGATGCAGGAACAGCCAGGCAGCCTCTGCTACCTGCAAATTGACTCTTCACAAGTCCCTTAATTCCCTGCCTGCACATTTCAAGCTTATCTGAATGATTTCAGGGAAAGGAAGATATAAAGCATTATCTAATTCAAAGTTACTTTCCTGCACTTTGAGAATTTAAAATAACACTCTCATTTTCGCAGAGAACGTTCTGCACAATACAGTCAAGGCAAAGGAGATAAATTTGTAAAAGTCTTATCCCAAGCTGAGAACTCTATAACTACAGACCACTATTGATCCTATCTGTATAATTATAATTTTATAATTTATAGTTGCACAGCTGCATGAACAAGAACAGAGGTTATCCTCTAAACACATTCACTACATGCTGGAGCAAACCATAAACTGATTTGTCTGCCAAGTGATTGTGTTGAAGGTGTGGAAATTACTTACACAGATCCATGGATGCTTTAGTGCTTCTGATGCTGTGATACGTTTTGCTGGGTTGATGGTGAGCATTTTATTGATAAGGTCTTTTGCTTCAGGAGTCACCGTGTCCCATTCTGGCGAGGGGAACTTCAGAAAAAAATACACATATGCATATTGTCAAGTACAACCTTTACACAATTTTACCTAAGGATCCACTACTGGATTCAAATAAGAGCTTAAAAATTATAAGGCTCTGCCTTTACCTCATCATCATTTCCAAACTACCTAAATCTTGCTGTTTAACATAATATGATTAGATGATGTTGCAAAATTCATATGCCACCATTTCACCAGTTCTTAACTTCTCCCTCTAGGAAAATCCCACACAGAGGTACAATCACAAATAACTGAATAGACAGAGTACAGTACATACATCATAAGCACCAGCCTTGATCTGCTGGTAAAGCCTGTGCTGGTCTTCATCCCAGAAGGGAGGATATCCCACCAGGAGGATGTACAGAATGACTCCTGCAGAAAATTCACACCAGTGTTAAGGGCTTTCAAGGAACAAACTCCAGAAATTAATTTTGCACCTAACAACCAAGTAAAACAAAAGGCTCATGAGCATCATCCTAGCCACTGGGATGGGAGAAATACTGCCTCTTCAGACTGGGGAAAAGAGTGGAAGTGGGGCTGACAAGTTAACCTCTTATGGAAAACACAGGCAATAATGAGCATTTGACATCATCAGATCAGGAACACTGGAAATGTTTATCTAGCCAGAGAAAGAATATACCATGGTTCTGGATGTTCTAGGAAAACACATTTTTTTACTTATGGTTTTATCACGGCTTGTACTGGTGTCTGAAAGATTGTCTTATAACTATTCTTATGCAAAGCAAATTTGGGGAACTGAAATTTCTCTGTATTTGGTCAATAGGAAATTGAAAAGACCACCTACTAGTCTGCCAGAGATGATTCCTCTGACTGAAGAAAAGTGTTTTCATAGATACAACCACATACTAGGTGTGGGTAGAAGTGAAATAAGGAAACCAGCCCCTGTTCTCAGCTGGGGAGATGCCACTTGCCAGTGCCTCAGAACACAGTTTTGAGAACTGGATGATAAAGCAATTGCTCTGTCCTCCAGTCCAGAAAACATTTAATTTTGTGGTTTATACCTGCAGATGGGGTATATTGGTCAGACTGAATTTTAGGCTCCTTTGCAAACCAAAACTAAATGTCCAGCTCACAGTATGAACTGGTGTGTTTACTAACTAATGAGGCATCATACACTTGCAGCTATTCTTTGAATACTCTTTGAAAGTGTGTTGTGTAGACATGGCCAAGAACGCCATGATAACAGAACTTAGTAAATAATTTTATAAAAAAGAAGCTTGTAGGGTAACAAAAAAACCAATGACCTCTACTAGAAATTAATACTGAATTTTATTAAATACCTACTTTCTGACGCACAATATAATGTACCCTGGATATAATTTATCACCCTTAAGACATTTTACAGTGGACTGAATATGACTTTCAGAATAACTTACCACATGCCCACATATCCACAGGTTTTCCATAAGGATCTTTACGTAACACTTCTGGAGAAAGGTATCCTGGAGTACCAGCAAAGCCTGTCAAAAGGCAAGGCAACTCTGGTCAAAACCTGTACATGCTCTGCAAAAAGCAAGTGATTCTCATGTGAGCCCACAAGACCCAGGACAACATTTCCCAGGCCATGGACAAGACCTGCTGCCCTTGCCCTTTGTTTTTATGGCACATGACCTAATGCTGACATTGTGGGGGACCAACTGACAAAGCAGAGGGGCAGCTACTGTATCCTACACAAAAGGAGATACATGGTGCACAAAATCAGAGCTACATCTAATACAATCTTTCCACTGCAGAACTCATTTCTGCCAAGTCATTCCACTTCTGGAAACCTCTTAACAAAAGTTTACAGGAAGCATCTCTGAAGCAATCTGGCCTTTAAAATTTATATGTTCTTCATCCTTTATTCATTACCAGCAGTGCTGCTTCTCTGAGCAGAACTGCAAAAAGTAGGTAGAAATATTACTTTTCTTAGGACACCGTAACAGATAAAAACTTAATGCCCACTAACAGTCTGCACCATTTTAGTGAGCACGTCTGCTCTTTCAGGCATCCTGGCCTAAAATAAATGCTTGGGAATTCCTGAGAGGTGAGAATTTGGTGGCTTTCATGAAGGACATATGCCATTTGTGCAATACCACCCTGGATTCCACAAAACTCATGAGAAATGATGATAACATGTAAAGTGTACAGCTACAGAAAAAAAAGAAGCCTTTGCCCTGCAGTCACCAATTACTTGGGAGTGAGAGGAGGAAATGAAGAAACACATTCTGTAAATTCTACTGAGAAACGAGCTGAAATATGGTCATGAAAAAGAAGCTTGTGTTTTGCAGGCTCCTGATATGGAAGCTATGAATTGTTAAGGAGTACTATCACACAGGAAACACATCTTAAGCCCCTTAGAGAAGCTGAAAAATACATGTTCTAAGTGGCTTTAAATAGAGTGCTCTTTCATATCTCTTCTTGGGTGCAGTGCTCATTTTAAAGGGAAAGCAACGTAGTCTTGACTTTAAAACTTACCACAGCTCAATGAACATTACTTTGCAAGACTTGAAAATAAACTTTAAAGCAAAAGATAAATATAGTACTTAGCTAACATTATCTCTCAATAAAGAAACAAAACAGATCTAAACTGAAATAATTGGCACAGTTTTAGTGCACAGATCCACAGAATGGTTTGGATTGAAAGGATCTTGAAAATTATCTTGTTCCACCCCCCGGCCATGGGAAGGACACTTTCCACTAGACCAGGTTACTCCAAACCCTGTCCCTCACCTTGGACACTTGCAGGGATGGGGAAGCAACAGCTTCTCTGGACAACCAGTGCCAGGGCCTCACCAGCCTCACAGGGAACAATTTTTTGCTATTATCTGATCAAAACCAACTCTTTCAGTTTGAAGTGATTCCCAGTTGTCCTGTCTCTACATGTTCTAGTAAAATAGTATTTTCCCAATATTCTGAGTGGTTTAAAGCAGCACATACAGAAGGGTACACAGCCCTGATTTCAGTTAAAAAAAAAAAAAAAAAACCACAAGGAAGTAGGTAACTGTCATTTATCAAGTTATTTTCTAACTGCTCAGAGGGACCCCCAAACAAGTGTGTACTTTTCAGAAAAGTGTTGCTGCTTGTAATAACTCCATTAGCTAAAGCAAATTGCAAAGCTGGAAACTGTGACTGTGCAGTGCCTAGAAGAGACTGCAACACCTTGCACTCCTAAACTTGTATGATTTCTCCAAGCATCCAGAGGACCAAGGCAAAATCTGAGCTTTGTTGAGCTCTACCTGCCTGCCACCTCCCCAGTACATAAGCACCTGCTATGAGGGTGGCAGGTTTCAACTAAGCGCTGTAAGGATTTCTACAAACAGGCAAACCAGGAAAGTATTCTATTGTATTCAGAATATAAATTCAGCACAGAGTTCAAGCCAGCTTCCTGCTGAGGCACAGACAGGGTTCAAGCACAAAAGAGACCACCACACCAGAGGACTACACCAGAATAAAGGGGGGAGAAAAAGAAAAAAGAAGAGCATACTGATGCAGAGCTATAAATAGAATCAGAGCATGTAATGAGTCATGAAGTGCTGCAGAATCCAGTAGAAAGCAGAAAAATCTTATCTTAGAAAGTGAGAAAAAGTTCAAACTGCCCAGTCCACTGGAGTTCATGTTCTATCCTGCTAATGCAGTCCTAAAGCTGAAGGCAGGCACTCAGACCACTCTGGACATGTTCTGCATAGAAAGTTCCAAAAAAGGTACAGAACCCACTTATCTTATTGAGTGCCACAGTTTTTTTTAAAAAGAAAGACCCCCTTTAAGCTACTTGCTCTTCATTACCTTGTTAACTCCTCCTCACATGTATATTTTAAAGACATTCTGTTCCCTTCTCCCAAGTTCTCATGACGCTAAGAGTCTAAACCAAGCATTTTACAAGAACCAAATGACAAAAAAACACGAAGCGCAAGATTTTCCAGGGCATTGCAACCTCATCTGCATCACCTGCAGGTACACTGTGTACTGAAAATATTCCTGAAGTCAACTTCAATCTGCTGCTTTTTCTTGAGATGCTTCCTGTTTACCTGATGCTTTTGCCATTGTAACAAACCACTTGTGTTTTGCTTTGCTTTGATTCCACTCCTTTTGTACTGGTCTGATTGCTGATGTGCGAGAGCAATCTCCTCTGTCTTTTGTGGATTACTGAAATCCATTTATAAAAAGGCTGTATTTAAACCAGCAGGCTGGCTTACAGAGCTCCAGCATATGTCCAATGGCACTGCTTGTGCATCTACATGTACTTACAGCTGTGAACACTCAACCTCCCAACTCACCGCCCAGAAAAACCTTTCTGCTTCTGTTCCAAGCCTACAACCACTCTGGTGCATTTCAAACTGCACTTTCTAGCTACTCTAAGGGAGAATAGACAGCTTCTATAAATATTTTATTTGGTATGTTTTTCCACCTGGGATTTATAATAAATTTTTCCCCATGCTTCACATCTGTTCAAAGAAGGTGGTACACGAGACATGTGTATCACAATTGGTGATACAAATGGTACATGCACCATTGTTTAAAATTACCAGTATTAAACATTTGCCACCACTCTCCTTGAGGCATCTATTAACTGTAACAAGTAATCTGTAATTAGTGTCTGGCTACAGCCTCAGGTGCTCAATCCCTCCTATTTCCCCTTTCATTGAAGTCACATTCCAAAGTGCTTCAGAATCAATTTTTCAGGCGTTTCCAGCTGACAGAGACCTGTTCAGACAACACGTTCTGATGACTGGGCAGGTACACTCAGCAGTATTACCCTACTACCTTATTCATGTTACCTGACAGAAAACCACCAGTCTCCCTCCCAGGTTCTACACCCATATTTTCTGCCTCTAGTTACTCAGGAGAAAGCAGGACAAAAGGGGTTGTGTGCACCTCAGTGAAATTTACAGGCTGATGGATGGTAGCACAAGCTAGGAATCAGGAAACCCAGGTTTTCCAGGGTCAAAGGGTCACACAGCTGCACGTTTTACTCTGGGGTGACGGTGGGGTGGCTGGGGAGGCTTAACCACTATGCTGAATAAATGGTGAGGAAAAAATGGTATTTACTTACCAAACCAAGCCTGTTGTTCTCCCTGGACTTCTATAGCCAATCCAAAGTCTGCCAGTTTGACTGCCGCTCCCTTGGATTTGCTAGCTAGAAGTAAGTTCTCAGGCTTTATTCAGAGAGAGAAAACAATTGAAACAAAAAGATAAGTAAATACATTTTAGACAGTACTCTGGAAAAAACCAACTATTTAGAGGAGTGAAAAAGAGAAGAAACCCATGAGTATTTTCCATGAAATTGTGAAACTTGCGCTTCCCATTCCTATCTGGAAAGAACGAGCAGGCCTGTAACCAGCCTTCATGAGCTCTTAGCAAGACTAAGGACAGTGTGAAGAAAGCAAGAAGGGGGATATGGAGCTGTGACACCCGCTGGTGTGACAAGGCAGGTCAGAGATTCCCAAGAGCTCACTACTGGAAAAATGGAGCAGCAGACTCCCAAAGGACAGGGACTCATTGATGACTAGTCTAGCCCATGGAGTTTGCAGGATCAGGCATCTAGAACTGTCAAACAGAAATGTTTTGCATGACATCCCAACAACAACAGCCCTGTGATGTATTTAGAGGGCAGGTGTATTTACATTGCAAATCTTTCAGCAAAACCAGCACACCCACGTTTGTGCCTGCAGAGAACCTTTACAAATAACCATGTTAGTTAGTGAAAGTTCCCACCTTGCTTTTGTTTTGTAGGGTATGTTGGTCACATCTGAAATGAAATGCTATGGTACACTTACACAATTAAAGGTAAAGAATTTGAACATAACAATTGTGTTCATTCTACTGTTCATAATGAATCCTTTTAACCCCAGTTAGCAAATACATCAAATGTAAATTGCCCAAAGACAACTTTATTGTATGAATGTTTGCTTTAAAAATACAACTAAAAAAGTACTGTAGAAATCAACAGATTATTTCAGAGAACTGTGATCCTCAATCACTGATGTGATTTTTTTGCCACATCTGTCTTTCCAATCCCATGGTTTTTAATGAAGGTTTTGTTCTACATTTACAGAAAAACAAAACCTCACTTTCACAGATATTGCTGTGACTCCTCAGAAGAAATTTCTGCAGTGGTCTGTGACAAGGGACTTCACTACAGGCAGGCTGGTGCTGGGGCCCCAATCCTGCAAACTCTTCAGTGCGTATTCCAGGTTCAAGCCAGGAGCAATCATATCACTTCCAAGGGACTATTTACGTGATGGCACTTAATCCCCTGCATGTACTGAAGTTAGAAATAATTAAGATCATAAGCTTCTTTCAGCAAAGCCTATCTTTAATACATGTCAGGTATCCAGCAAAACATGCTTGAGCCAAAGTAAGACCTCAGTCACAGTGATACTTCTATTAATTAACAACACAATGGGCCCTGACAAACTCTTTAGTCTAAAGGTGGTTTTTTCCCCTCTCACCAAAGGAACATTTTTTCACCAATTTACCAACACTGTTCTCTCACTCATCCCTTTGTTGCTATGTCATAGACTAGACAATATTAAAAAAACTTTCGTCAATAGTTACTTGATGAATTTTCTGTTTTCACAGTTTGAAAAATTGAGATCAAGAGCCCTCAGAACAAAATACAATCTTTACATTCACTTAAATTATCAGTAACCACCCCAACTACATTATATGAAAGACTGAGTGCATAGCTGAGGACTTTTCTCTAGTTTAATCAATGCAATGTCACACTGCTTGCCATTTAACAACACTAATTTCAACACACAGTCACATAGTTCTGCAAGGCTTCCTCTCAGAGTGAGAGAGGTTCACAGTAACTGATTCCTGGAATGCTGTTCTTGTATAAACCTCTTAAAACAATGGATGATCCTATTTGGTTGTGACCTTCAGGCAAGCCAAAAGCAGAGAAAAGCCTCATCCTTTTGGAAGAAATACGAGCACTACCCCACAGAGCACATACCGCTCTCCCAAAAAGCGACTTTGTTCAAAACACTGGTTTTGTGTTTTCTGATGCTGGTTTGGTTTTTTGCTGGATTTTTCAGTTTATGTTTTCCTCTTGGGATTGTTTTTTTATTCAGTTTCATGTCTCTTCTCTGCAGAAGTACCACTTTAACAGTTGAGTATGTTCCACCAGAATTCCTGACTTACTCCCATGCCAAAGACAACAGCCTTTTGGGCCATGCCAAGTGGGACTGTGTGCTTAACCAACATGCAGCAGCCGTTTGAGGCTGGCCAGAGGCACGTGGGTGATTACCATGCATTAACTGGGAACGAGGGCAATTACTTGGGAAACATTAATGGCACCAGCACCATGCAGAGCTTGCTCCCAGATTTGGTGGTGTCACCTTGTGCTCCCCGGCGATGGGCGGCAGCCAAGCATGCACAATGGCACTTGGTAACTGCTGAAATTACTTACAAATAAATTAACATGATTTATGTCATGCTTTTCCAAAAGCCTTTAATCCTTAAGATAGCAAGTATTTAAGGCTCTGTGTATTTTTCCTTGAATATACCTCTAAAGCAGCCACTCTTTGCTGGAAGGTAAGAGGGTCTTAACCACAAAATCACAGAAGTTGCACAAAAGCAGGAAGGCTACAGCCTGACAAGAATTGGAATTCCTACCTGGAAGCGCATTTTTACTAGCTGGTAAAGTTAAGTTAATTTTTTTCTGGTTCTAGGATCAACCACCATTCTGACTTAGGCCAGTGATTACAAACAGAGCAGCAACAAGCACTTCTGCAGGTCATTAGAGGCTGCAAAAGTTCCTCTGTTTGCTACTGAATCAGCCTACAAGGAAAGTTAAATAAAACGGGATCATCCAAAATCTCCCCACCCCCAAGCATGCCATCATATTGTGCACTGAGTTACTGGAAAAAAATCCATCAAGTTTTGCAATTTAAGGATCCATGCCAGCCCATAAGCACCTTCCTCATCTTGCTGTGTTCTGCTCCTGGCATCTTCTTTTCAGCACATGGCGTTCTGCTCGGATTTCACCACAGTCTTTCATTTAATTCTTTGGGTTTTTTGGCTTTTGCCACAAAGCTGTAACTGAAGAAGGATGGTTTTCTGCTTCCTCAACTTTTCACTTTCCCAAATGAAACCAGGCACTACAGCTTCGCAGAAACACTTTTTCTCACACTGTTTTTTCAATTCATCCTGGATTTGCCAGAATAAGAAATCCACACATGGTCTGGAGCAGGCAACAGCTGGATTTAATGTGTTCCCAAAGCAAAAGTTGTTTTGTGTGAATGTATGAAAAGTAATAGAAAGCATGCCTTATTCTAACAGCTTGCATAGCTACAATCCTGGCTTTTTAAATTCCTTTTGATGCTAGAAGCATAGGACTGCATGTACAGTGTGGATAGGAACCACTGGAGCAGCTGGACAAATTTGACATAGTTCCCTTTAAACTCATTGAAGGTTACCCAGCTGCCATGCAAGATTTACAGACTGGACAGAGATTTGTCAGTCTCCAGTTGTACAAATGTGACAAAGGAAAATCCAGAAGTGCAAAATGAGTAAAAAATTTGGGGTCTGCATCTTGGAAACTCATCCTGCTCTCTGAGCTTTTGGGGCAAACCCCTTTGTGTTCCCTTATGACAACAACATGGACCTTATAAAGTCAGACAAGAACAGTTTGTTTGGGAGTGAAAGTTGCCAAGAAAGGTGACAGCATTTTGATTCCAACATTATTATTCATTATAACCACTAAAAACTCTTATCCTAGGAGGAAATTTCTGCTCCTCAGAACTCATTCAGAAAAAAACCTCAAGCCCAAGAATCCGTGCCACAAGGGACTAGCATGTTTTGCTGCCTTAGCGTATGCACCATTTTTTCTCTGCCTCACGAAGGATCTGATAGTTCAGATTTCCACTTTATTTCAAATGAAACCATCTTCTTTTCCTTGCGAACTGTGAAGCTCAAGCTCCCAAAAGGCAAGCTTACTATGAGTTCTGGGACAGCCTTCTCTCTTGGAGCCTCACAGTAAAAGAAAATGATCTAGACTCCCCCTTCTTTCCTTGCCAACATATCTTAAAGGCAGAGAGCATTCATCCAGCAGATGCCTCTAGCCATCTGGATATGTAGACAGTTAAGAGAGAGGGAATGCTCTCCCAGCACAGAGTTTTCTTTAGAAAGGTTTCTATTCCAATGTTAAAGCTCATCTGGAAGGAACTGGACTCCTCAGGTGAGTGTGGTGAGAACACTGTAGAAATTCCTGGTTTTTAAAGATGTTTTGTTGAACAGCCATCATTTGCAGGAGAGAGCGGTCTGTGTGCCAGTGATCCCAGAGCAGCTGGCCTTCTGTCACTATAAAATGCACAGCATGCAAACACTTCTGTGCTTCCCAAGAGCACTACAGATTCAGCTGATGAGACATGGGAAGTTGCCCTCATGCCCTGTCCCAAAAGCTCTGGATGACAGAGAAAGACCATGTATTCAACAAATACACATAGTGCTTGAAAAGCACTTCTTGCTCTCCCTGTACTGCCAGGTGCTGGACAGCCAGCCTCGAGCAGATTCCCTCTGCTGAGCACGAGCTTGTTCTCGCATGTAGGTGAAGCCAAGTTAAAAACAAACGAACCAAGGGGGAAAAACAAAAAGAGGGAAGCATTTACATTTCGGCTGCTGGCGGCCCTGTGGGGCAGGGATGCTGCTCCGGGAGGGCGGCGGGGCAGCAGCACTCACCTTGAGGTCGCGATGGACCACGCCCATCTGATGGCAGTGCAGCACGGCCTCCAGGATCTGCTGAATGCAATGACTGCATGCAAACACCATGGGCGCCCGTTAGTTCCAGCAGCAGGCGGCGGGGCGGCGGCCGAGGGCGCGGCCGGGCGTGGCGGTGCTCCCGGCCTGGCCTGCCCTGCCCGCGCCGCCCCGCTCGGAGCACGACGGCCTCGGGCCCCGCGGGGCGGCCCTCAGACACAGGCGGCGGGGCGGCTGCCTCGGCTTTGCTTGGAAATTAACACCGATGCCTTTTGCAACGGTAATTTTTAAAAGGAAGAAATTTTGCCACTAATTCAAGGTCGTATTAAATATTTGGCATCCTCTGTGCTTTCTCCTTCTCTCTTACTCGGAGCTTTCACAGAGGAGCATTAAAGAATTGTAGAAATGGTTAGAAATAGGAGCGACCATGGAGGTAGTCGCCAAGCCCCTCCAAGCCAGGTACTCCAGGTCAATAATTAGCTCCTAGCCGCCCGATTGAGCCGGCAATTAGCGGCGCTCGCCTGAGGTCTCGGCACAGCCGCGGCGGTCCCATCTGCAAGCTGACATACATCACAGCCAGGGGTCACCTCCTGCGCCCGCACCGCCCCGCAGCTGGCACAGCGTGGGCACAGTCCAGCGCCTCGGCAAAGAACGGGCTTTGGGCAATCGTTCCCCCTCTTGCCATGATGTATATGAGGCCTGTAGACTTGCAAACTGGAAAGAGGCGTCATGCATTACTGGTTGGAGCGGCTGTTCGGAGGGCGAATAGGATAGGCAAGGGAACATCGCAGACATCCCACCCTCTGCCCCTACCCAGCGGAAAGAAAACCCCAGAATTCGTATATCCAATTGATGGGCACCAGATACTGACCTTCAGGTCTCTGTGAACTATGCCATTTAGATGACAATGATTAACACTTTCTAGAATCTGCTGTATACAATGACTGCAAAGATACAAGGGCAGAATGGAAGGGAGAACATTTTAAAGGCACATAATCACATTAAATACAAAATAAAATAGAACTTAAAAAGTTAAAGAACAAAAACAATTTTACACCTCTTGACAATTCTTGATTGCTGTTTGAACTGGAACAACAATATTGCTGAGATATTTCCAGCTCCAACACATCCAAAAAACGAAAAACCAAAACCAAACCAAAAAAGACATTTAACATGGAACATATGACGCCTATGAGACAGAATCATCAGACTGTATTTTCACTCAGCAGTATGTAAGCTTCTTCCAGTTTCCAAAAACTGCCAGGAAAAATAAAGTGGAGGCAGTAAAACAATTAGTGGCATGTTTTGGATTTCTTAATTTTTGGTGGTGAAGTTAACATTACAACAAGGGCTGAAACAAGAAAATGGTAAGAAATGAGATGATATACAGAAAACAAATGAAACAAAATAAGTCAAAAGCTAAGGAAAAGCAAAACATTTTTCATTTTGAATTGAATGGTTTCTTTAAAATGATTAGTAGAATAAAGCCAAGTCATTCAAAAAGGTGGCATGCATTTTCATTTGAAATAGTGTCCAGCTCCGGTTTAGTTAGGAGTCACTTGGGAAGTGAAAATCCACATGAAAAATTAAGACAAATGTTTGAATTTGGTGCTTTCAGTAACTGAAGTAGCACCTATTTTCCCATACCCAGGTTTGCAAGTTTTGGCCAGTCCACGATGCCAAAAAGCACAACTAAAATATTAATATTTTAAGTACTGGAACTTTTTCAGATGGTTTTTTGGCACCAAAAAAGCTTAGCATTTTCTTTTAAACATATCATTGTGGCACGAGTGAGTGATAATAAGCAATACACAGCAGTCAAGATGCTGCTCATCCAAAACCTTTTGACCATGGAATTCAGAAGGAATGGTCATAATCAGTAACTGGAGCCCAAGCTGAAAACCCTTTCTTAGGCAAGTAGTTCACAACTCACTGCACGGCTTGTCTGAGTACAGACTACTGGCGTGAGCAAGGGCTTGCAGGAGCAGACCAGTGTGACAGTCCTGGGAGAGGCATCCACACAGAACAGCAACTAGTGCTACAGGGATACACACATACACACACTAGATATATCTATACATATATAGATATATAGATATAAATATACAAAATACAGAGATGCAGCATAACTAGATATTTCACTTATTTGGTCAAATTTTGACTGGAAAAATAGAATGTATATATATATTTTATATATATACATATATATGCACAGCCCCTTCCAATATATCATAATTCTAGAACAAAAGAAATCATCATTGCAACTTTTCTTTTTAATTCCCAACTATCTTAAAAACACACAAAAGGACAACACATACTGGCCTTTGGCATCAATATTGGAAATTTGCTTCAATCACAGCAGGAAAAAATGATTTGAAAAATGTTTCAACGTAACTCCTCTTCTTCCACCCCACCTAAACTCTGTTGCTGTTTTCTCTTCTACAGGGTGTTTTGCTATGTGTTGTTCTTTATTTAAATGCCTGAAGTATTACTCTTTCTACCATTCCTATAGATGCAGTAAGATCTGGAAGTGGAAGCTTCCTAATATTCAGAGTAACTTCCTGTCTGTTCATTATTATCCTACTACTGTTGTTAGGAATACTTAATTCTTTCTGGACATCTCCCAGTGACTTCCAAATGTAAAGGCATAATTCAAAATTGCATGTACTAAATATGTATTACTGGGGGCTGTGTTTGCAAACACACAGAAGCATAAGGATTCTTTAAATTTACTTGGGGGTCAATTTATGTGAAGAGCATGGTGGTAGAACATATTTTCTTTAAAATAATTGACCACAATGTTTAGGATTCTTAATTTTATAACAATCTTTAAGATTTATTATTATATGAAAACAAACATGAGATGAGTGGCCCCGATACTTTATGCATGCAAATTATGATAATTGTCAACTTATTATTCAAGTTTTTCAACAAGCACTTGCAGAAAATTGCCAGAGATTTCATATTTGAGCTCAGACTACGAGACACACTGTATAATTGCTTATTGATGAAACAAAACAAAAATTTCTAATTGGAAAAGGAAATTAGCATTTCTGGACTGACAACAAAATATTTCATGCAAAATTCTTTTAAGATCAACTTATGCTTCAAAATTGGATCAGCAAATCTAAGAATTCACGGGAGAGACACTTGAACTGTTATGGCCAGTCTGCAGAGGAGACAATGGGTAAAATTTTAACTACTTGAGATCCAATTTCAGCTTTTTCAGATCAGAAGACACTAGGACTGCTCATGAGTTCTCCACCACATGGTCATGAGCTCAAACCGACAAACTCCTAATCCCAGAGTCTGAAAGACTGTGCTGGGAAACTGATGCCAAACACCAGGATGCATTTAAGTAACTATCCTAGAATTATCAAAGGCAACATTAGAAAAACAAATTACTTACCTGGCATCTGCTTCACTATAATACTCTCTTGCAACTATATCTTCAAACAATTCACCTCCAGTGACTCTGTTACAGAAAGCAAGATGTGGAAAAAGAGATTTCAGAAGTGAAAATGTGCACCTTAAATTAACTTGACAGGAAGAAGTCAGAGAGGAGTAAGTGAAATATTTGTACAGAAATGCAAGAGGTTTCAAAGCAAGGTGCAGGAACTAAAGTGGAAGGTTTGTCCATCCAAATCATTACACGAATAAAATGGATGTAGTGGAAGTGCAATCATCAATAGTAAATAAAAGCCAAGGGCAGCAGTGTATAGGGCAAGATGCCAGACATCAGTTATGGATGTCAAAAGGAAGGATCAAAAAAATAGAAAGAAATAAAACTACAAGGATAAAGGGAACTGACCAGCCAGGAAAATTGTGGCTGTAGCTCAGTACAGTTCAGGATAACTTGGAAACAGCAACATTAGGCAAAGGTAAGAAATGCTAAAATACAACAATGCTAAAAATGGAAAAGGATCTTTCAGTGTAGATCAAATCACAAGAGAGGTGTACCCAGGTGCCAGAGGGGCTGGCTTTTTGTGCTGGGGCTAGAAAGAGTATTACTGAGTTGGAAGGGAAGTATCAGTAGAATCAGGGTACCTTAATCAGTTTAACAGCAGATTTTTCCTAGAAAATTTTCATTTATCTTTGTGGAGAAAGTAGGAACAGCTTAGTTAAAGCACCACTGAAAATAAGTTACATACAAGGGAAGAACTGCATGATCCTGGGGCCAGTAACAGAAATAGCTGTGCATCATTGCATACTCAGGAGCTCATTGTACAACCAATGGTTTAAGAGTAGAAAGTAGTTAAAAAGCAGTAAAACTGTGTTTTTATATCCCAAAGATCACCGTCAGGAATGAGCCCAGAAGAGGATGATGCCACAATCTTGGACTGCATCTGGAGTAGGGTGATAGCAATGTAAAATCCCTCCTCATATCGTACCAGTTCTGATCACTCAAATTCAGAAAAGGGAATTGAATGTGCACCATGAAGAGAAAAATTGCTACCAGACTAGCCAGTCACTCACTCATCAGATCCCCTCAGAGAAGCAAACCCAGTTCAGCTGGGCAAAACAAAGGTTAGGAGGAATGAAAATCAATACTGAAGACGAGCATTAGCCTGGATCTCCCTGGAGGGGAGTTGTAAGGGATAATATTGGTAACAAGAATACATGAGCATACAATACCTATGGAGCAAATATAGGGCTAAAATCAGGAGAAGTTTTCTAGCAATCCTTGTAAGATGAAGATTAATGAGCTTTTCAGTAATTTCATAACACTTGTCTGCCTGTGTCAGAAGAGGGGACTTCCAGCACAGGAAGACACTTCCTGTAACATTTCTCTCCTATGGTATGGGCTGACAGACTGGCACAGCTACATGCAATTCTTCACATATTCAGGTGCTTACATAAATAATTCCTAGATGAAAGATCAATGCTTGTATTTCATTGCTGGTTATGAATGCAAATATTAGCACATTACATTTCCAATAAATTCCCAAACGTAAAAGCTTGAGTGCACAACGAGATACTTCAAGATGCTTAAAAATCTATACTACAGTGCACACAATTAGTATTGAATACAGTTAAGTTTATTAGAATTAAAAAATTCAAGGTGAGAATACTCGGAATGCTCAGAACTGTAACATTCACTTGCAAACTGCTGTGCTAACACTTTGTTAAGAGCCCAGTTTACAGCCACATTAAATGATGACAGAAACGCCCTGCTCAACCAGCAGCCCTGCTCCTTTCTTGGAGAAGGCCAGTTCAAGAACTTGATTTTCATGATTTCATTTATATTTGGGTTACACCATCCTTTTTCTGAGTTCACATATTACTGACTCTTAACGTAGAGATGTTCAGGCAACAGAATGCTATTTTGTACAAAAGTCTGGAGTAAAATCTAGAGGAAGCAAAGTAGCTTCTTGCCCAATTTGTGTTCTCTTTTTGCCTTCTACTTTCCAGAGACTAGCTGTGGTTGCTGTAGCACAAAATGTTTGATTGATGCATATTTTGACAGTCTTTCATAACTCCTTTTTGCATATATATTTGTCTGCCACAGTTCTGGTAAAGAGGAATAATTCTCATTTTGTGATGAATGAAAAAACAAAGCATCCTTTGATCTTACTCTTTCCTAAAACACTTATTTTTGATCCAAGCTAAAGAAAGAAAACAAGAAGCTTCAGTCATCAAAGTGCCTTTCAGTGGAAGAGAATACCAAATTGATGTTTGTTCTTCTCCAGCACAGAGGGTGGAAGGGGATATGAAATCTTATTTGCTGACACTAAACATTTGCTTGGTATTCACAACCATTGTTAAACGATGAAAAGATTAAAGCAGGAACAGAGCAGGTGAATTTCAGTGACAACCAAACAAGCAGTCAGCAATTCCCATGCTCTGTCTCTCTGAAGGATACCTTAGGAACAGCTCTTCCAAGAGAGCAAAATAGCCACAGTGAAGGAAGGCAGCACAGCGCAGGGCACGAGGAGAGGACAGAACCCAGCTGCACGTCCTGAGCCTCTGGGCAAACCACGACAGCCGTGCTCGTGGCCTTGGCTCACTGCGTGTCCCCGAGCAAGGTGCCCCTGGCAGCACTAAAGGGCACAGGCATCACAGTGTAGGACAGCCTGCAGGGTCCAGGAGGCCACTCCCAACTGACACAGGTCCTTCACCATAAAGGCACATGAGCAGGTGCCGAGGTACTCCCTCCCCGCAGGATGCAAATGGGAATGGATCCCATGTGCCTTTATGGTGAAGGACCCCGCAGGATGCAAATGGGAATGGATCCCAATGCCTTTCTGACACAGACATACATCTGGGTCCTGGGAAGTCGCATTTCATGACAGGCCATTCACCACATAAGCTCTGGTAACTTGCAAGATACAACCTAGAAGCTACTGGTTTGTACAAATTGTTATGGTTCTTTTGTGATTTTGAGAAGAGCATACTGAAGTGGCATAAAGCACATGAGTTTGTTTACACAGAAGAGGTACAAGCAGCATGAAGCAACACCAAGGCACTCCACACCACTTTGAGAAAAACTGCTGGTTTATGATTGCAAATATAAGAGAATAATTAGCACAAACAGCTAAACCAGCTTCTTATGGTGATCAGACTGGTGTGGTTTCCTCCTAGCTTACGTTTACTTCAATTGCCTTGATAAGGGAACTGGGAGGAAGCATCTTAGAGTGGCCATAGAATTATTAAATTCATCTGTGGCCTTTCTACTTCTGAAATAGAGGCATAGGCACTTACCTGAGGCAAACACTGTTTTCCAAATTAGGCTATTTTTTGTATTTTCTGTTTATTCTATGGTCCCTGCACTTAGACTCTAAAAGCAAGGCCAGGATTCTTAACATACCAATTGTTGCATCTCATCAAGTGCATTAAAACGAGAGACACTGAAAATAGAGAATCTCATTGACTTGCACAAGAGAGTTTTCAAGTGCTACAGCTGTTTCCATTCAGATACAGCAATTAATACTGACAGAATTGATTGGATTTGAACTCATCTAACATCATTAAGACTGAAGACAGTCTCATTCGTGCTTAGCAACTGAAATGGTCCAACAGACGCAAATCCTGACTGCAGCTGCCTTAACCAATAGGGAAGGGGAGCAAAAACTTCATGAAGTCCATTATTAAATTCATGAAGTTCATTGTTCAATACCCATTTTCCACATGGATTTCCAGAGACTCCCCCCTTCCCATTTGACAGCAGAACTGTTCACCCAAAAGCATGTCCATAACAGAGTGCATTCAACACTTTATTTCTCCAGATAAAAGCACAGCCTGTGGTATACAAGTCAAGCAACAGGCTGCAGAAATCTCTGTGGCATTTATATTCCAAAGAGATTATTAGAAATTCAAACCAGAAAGTAACAATGATTGTTTTTTTCCTATCCACAGAAAGGGCAGTCTTCCCCTTCACTTTCTTACGTGGGATGAAGTCTGAAAGAAATTTCTGAGGAAACAGCCGTACCAAATCCCACACAGTCTGAAAGAAGAAATCATTAAGAAAATGACATGATGGCATGTGTGGGTGGAGTGACAGTGTTACACCACAGTCAGGCTCCTGCTGAATAAAAACTAAATAAAGCAAAGCAGGTTCTTGGCCTGTGTATTCAAGAAGTGCACATGGTACCTTTTCATCATGGCAGCTCTTATGTACTTGTCAACAGGGCAGTAACCACATGTTTGTAAAATGTGAAGTTTCACTAATAAATAATACTAGTGAGCATAAAAGCAATGATTTAATCTGAATGTGAAAAATTAACTGAACAGGCATTCCCAGTAATTTGGCAAAAGTGTCTCAAGAATGCAACTTGTTGCTTTTCCAGAAACAACTATAAGTCAGCAAAGTCACTGCCTCTGCCATTTAGACATTTTCTTTTTTTCAAAATAAGTAATTTTTACAAAACCCTCAAAGCACATGGCCAAAACATAAAAGCTGTATATAAAGGTTTGAGGCTGCTCCTCTGTTTGTCCTGAACGGGACTGACAGGGAACGGAAGAAGTTCCAGCCAAGGCAGAACACTTCCTGTGGAATCCAGTTTTCTGCCAAGGCAGTATCTTTGGGTTAGACATTAACATTTTATTGCAGAACATAGGTACCTTGAACAGAGGCTTCTATTTGCTCCCTTACTATCGAGAATTAGATACTGTTATCTACAATTCTGAAATGGTTCAAATGTTCTAGTTCACATCACAACCATAACCCCCTGAGATAAGTCTGGCATCATATATGAAATTTAAGGCAGACGTGGACTAACTGCAATTATAGTATGGCACACTTACTCTCAGTACAGCAGTACAACAAAAAAAATAACCACTGTTTTTTAAAAGGGATATTGTCCCTGGAACTAAGAATTTTACAAGCACTTCTTAGAAATGTTCTGAATTAAGAAGCTTTTACCAATTCCACATAGAAATATTTCCTTTGTAGCCCTTAAGGGAAAAAAAAGCAAAACAAACCCCAGTGCATGTCAGAGAACAAATCTATGTGTTGTGCCCTGGAGCCATTTTGAAGCCAACAGTCACAGCACTTACCTGGGATAGGCACAAACCACATACAAGCTTCTGTTGAGCCCAGCTAGGATTTCACTCCTGAATCTCGAATGCCTTCACTGCAGACAGACTATTTCAATATTTGTGTATTTCTAGTCTGAAATCTAGTGCTGAAGAAGTCTTTACAGATTTCTTTTAAAAAAGTTAAGTCAGGAAGTAAACCAGAATGTAACTTGAACATGAAAGCACACCATTGCTTGTGCGCAGGAAGATTGAGGCTCTAACTTAGCCATACTGAATGCAAATACTTCTGTTTGTATGCTTAGAAATGAGCTATATTCCATTTCTGGAGAAACAATATATTCTCATTCTAACCAGCAAAACCACAGGGGGCCTAAGAAAGCTCTTTGGGTAGGTGGGTGAGTGTGTTGTCTCCACAACTGTTGTCTCCAGTTAAATAAACTGCCCTGGAAAAACTTATCGTTTAAAGAGATAATTTTATTTAAATAAATCAGTTTTGCAATACAATCCCTATCATTCAGGTTTGTCCATATCCAAAACCAAAAGCAGTAACTTTTCAAGTGAGTGGAAAAGTTTGCCTGTGCCAGGGAAGAATGAGGAAATCAGTTTCTCTTTTCAAGTTAAGAGCCTGAGACACAGTTCACGCTGTCACCATCCCTGCTTCCACTAAAAAAGCCTTATCTGGAAAAAACAAGCTCCATAACAGGCCATGTCATTATATGAAAAGCTCATGGGACTTAAATTCCTGAAACAAAAGAGAGTATCAGTAGGAAACTTCCTCTCTATATGCTGGGCACCTGACATACTGAGTGGTGTCAAAATGAAACATTATAAAGCAGTAAGACATCAATAAGGAATGAAACACTAAAAGAATCTTTCCCTCTCTAAACTCAGGCTTACCTTTTTAATCCAGCAGTTGAGATTTTCTGTAGAGAAATTAGTGTTCCACATGTTTTTTTTTAATCTTTCCTTTAGACAACTGGCTTGCAACAAATATTATTTTTTCAGTCTAACTTTGCTTTGTTTTGGCACGTAGCACACTACTTTTACTTACATACCTACACCTTATGTTAAAATCCACTTCACCAGTGGATTTTTACTAGTTTTTTATGGAATAAATGGAATCCTTACAGCAACACTTACAAATGAGTTCTTGCACATGCAAATGACCAACTGTGTTCCTGTCCTTCCAGCTGTTTCCATCTATTTGTCCAGCTCATCACACCAGAACCAGGTATTTATCTCATGAGCTTGCACTTGCATCTCCAAGTTTGAACAGCCCATCCCCAACATGCTAAACAAATGCAAAACAAATACTTACAAGTCAAAGACTAAGTAATGGAATCCTTCTTCTGATATGCTGTCATGGAGCCGCACTGTGGAAAGGGGGAAGAAAAGATAAACACCAGTCACCTTTTCCATGTCTTTGATGGCTGTTGTTGATTTGGGGACAAGGGGGGTTATAATTCTGCTGCAGAGCTGGTATTGCATCTCTGCATGTTCTCAGCTGTGGGGTATGGGGCTTCCTTTTGAATTCCCTACCCTCAGAATTGCCTTTTCCGTAACTTACTTTCCCAAGGTCATACAACCTTTTTCTCAGCAGTATTACATCCTAGAACTTGTAAATAAAACAAGATGAGGAAACCCCCCCCCCACAATTAGTCACACATTTCAGCAGAGTAACAACCCTCCAGGGCTTGCTAACAATGTCTCACACATACTGTGAAGAGTTGCAAAGAGAGAAATCTCCTGGCCAGCATAGAGCATCCTAACGAAGCCCCCATGCCACGTTTCCATACCCCTCTCTGTGTCCAGATCTATGGCTTTCCCTGAAAATGTGCTCATCAGCTGCACAATCTTCCCTTTGAATTTTAAGAACTCACACCACATCGTAGCACAACTACGAATTAAGTCCTGTGGTTTTCCTTAATTACTTTAAATGAAGTCGCAATTTCCAAAGGTAATACAGGAAGCCTTGTCAGTAGTTTGACCCAAATAATTATCACTTATAGAACCAAATGAAAAAATCAGGGTACCCTAAAAGTGATCTGTGTTCAAAGCTGGGCTGAGCAAGAAAGTATAAAAAAAAAATTTCAGATCTCCCCAGATGATAACTTTCTGTATTAATCATTTTTTATACAGGACAAATAAACATGACTTTTTAACTTAATAATATTTAGCCCAGAGAAACATCTTGTGTTTACACAATACTGAAGAGAAAACCAGATCTTGGCTGACTCAGTGTGCAGAACTCATGATGATTCAGAAGAGCCAAGTAGGTCTAAATCAGAGTTTGTGGTTTTGGCTGGTTCTGTATTTCAGATTACTCCATGTTTTGATGAAGGGGCCAGCCAACATCACCCTCCACCCTCCCAAAAAGCCCCTCAACATCCCCAAATCAGCTTTCTGTCTGCTTGCATTGAGCTGAGCTTTCAATATTCCCAAACGTCTTGTCTTTAAAGCAAACCAAATGCGGGGTGAGACACCACACACCAGCTTAGAAGAGCATCTTGACATTTCTAGCTGAGGACTGAGACCCCTAAAACATCTGGCTGTTGGGCACATGGCATTGTACAACAGTGTCAAAGATACTACTCATGAAAAGGGATTTAGTAAAGCCCCTTGGGTATGTCACAGATGCTATACAGCTCTAAACCTGTAACATTTGGAGTGCAGTCGGTCTGCTTTGCACATACATCTACAAAAAAGTTAACAACTCCTTAGGCTTTATACATAGCAAATGATACTTCTTGATAGAAAAATCATTAAACAGACCAGTAGGAAATCAAAGCATGGCTTTTTCAATTCAGAGCAACATTCTCCTCTGTCATATCCCTGTTACCAAGAAGGCCAGGATGGCACCACAGAAAGGGGCTTCTTGAGCTTTGGTGTCTGCCTGAAGCAGGAGGTGCTCACATTTGCCATTTCCTTCTCTAGAACGGGACTTGGTTCCAAGTGCCTGCAGAACCACAGATCTGTCCCTTTGGACTAGAAAGAGGCTGTTGTTTGAGATGATGGACAATGTTGTGCTCAGCCTGAGGATCCTAACTCCTTGCTAGCCGAACTCAAGTCTGACACATCTTGAAGGATATCTTCTTCAAGGATCACATTCTTCCTTTTCCTTTCTTTTCCTCCCAAATGCCTGAATCACAGAAGTGAGATGGAACAAACCCTTCTCTGAATCAGGCTCATATGCCCCTGATTGTTTCTGAAAAGGAAAACAGGCTGAGGCAGCTGGGGAAGATGGGAGCTGCCTTTTGGCAAGTGCTTATGTTGGCATCTTTGGTCAATCCAGGCACATGGTTATGTCTGTGAAGTGAAAATGCCAAATAAAGCGAGGGCAGAGGAGAGCAATCCCTAGTGCACAGCAAAGGGTGCACAACAGCACTGAAGCTAATCCAGCACAGCCCAGACATTCTGCCTGCACTCAGCTGCCATGGGAAAACAAGGGATGCTGGGATGACAATTTGAGCAAATACTAAGCTTAAGAGGGGATGCACTACAAGAAGTGTTTGTGCACTCACTGCAGACAGATACAGTTCTGCACACACCCCTATCAGGCAGGATGCAGGCATGACAAACCAAAAGGCAGCAATTACAGAGATTATTCATCCAATATAATAACTCCCATCAGAAGTTCACACTGCCATTCCTATTTCTTTAGAGTCACAAAGCATTCATCAGTACTAACAGTTTCATTTATCTTTTCTGAAAAGATTAGACCAAATCATTATTAACTGCAGATATTTCATCAGTGCTGTTATTAACAAACACATGAGAGGGCAGCAAGGAAACCAAGGTAGCTCCTTTTCCTCCTGCCTGCTGTAGCCCTGTGGTCACTCTCCTCTACTGGGTTCCAGAGAAGGTGCTTAACAACCCCAGACAAAGTCACTGGTCCTAAGCAATGGAATGCCTGTCAGGAACCCAGGGAGCTTACAGCCCTTCCTTTTGCAGAAATACTGTAAAAGCCCACAAAATATCAGGAATAACCCACTTTGGCTTCAGCACTGATTTTCACCTGAAATACTTTCCAATCATCACCATGGAAATACCCTAACAATAATTTCAGGGAGAACTCCTATTAGCTTGATTAGCTTCCATTCAGCCATTAGTGTGGGCCTGCTCCAATCTGACCAAAAAGTAAAATGATCTCCTTTATGTGACTTTTTCTGCTGCACTGAACTATTTTGTGCCTATCCCACAGAAAACAGCTTGATACAATGGCCAAATAACTTTATGATTTCCTTTTTGAATTTCTGCCTTTAAAGAAAAAAACCCAAAATAACAGTATTCCACATACTTCCACTGAAAATCAAATTTTTCCAGGCAAGGAGTCAAGCCAAACAGTCAATAGTCAGAGAGAAGTTCTCAAAGACAAAGATATTTAACCACATCTAAACCTACTGCCTAAAATATTTGTGTGAAACTGCTTGCGATAATTTTGCTGAATTTGGTATCTGAATTAGTTCATTACACAAAGACAAACTATTGGAGAGGACTGAACTTCACACCAAAGTTACATTGCACAGTCAGCACAGCAGCTACACAGATGTGCACCGAGGTGCCAAACCACCAGAGATGCTCCTTGGGGAAAACTCTCTCCATGCAATCCTGCTCATTTTGTTGATGAACAGAGCATGGAAAGGGATTAACACAGCCAATGGTAAAGACATTGATTTTTCCCTTTGGTAGTTGAAATTAAGTTCTGTGGACACCCAGAGACACTGATCCTGTAACTGTGAAATTTGATGTCTCAAATTAGTGTACCACTAGGAAGTTACAGGGCACATTCATCAGTAGTAGAGGTTTAAAATGGGTTTGAAAGTCACAAAAGCTTACATCAAATCTGCTGAAAAATGCAAATTACTTATTCAAGTTTCTGCTGTCCTGCAATGATGAAAAAGGGCAAAGGATGCTTTCCCTCCATTTTCACTTCCAAAAGTGTACTACAGTATTTATGCACACCTGACATACACCACTTACTGAAACAAAAAAAGAAGCATCCCAAACCCTTTCAAAAAATGAACTTCATTACTTAATGGAAGGAACTTCATGGAATAGCTTCAGTCAACTTTGGGTGTTTTATGAATTGGTACCAATGGATATGGGATAAATGGTTGCACTTGAAAATGAAAAAGCATAATAAAAATTGAAAAAAAAACCCTCAATGACTGAAAAGCCATAACCGATATGTTTTTTACTCATATTTGAGCCACTCAATTTTCTATTTCAAACACCTGTCTATAAGCATTTTCTGCTGTGCTGTCTCTGACAAAGCAAGCCTTGTGCTTAGCAGAATTGTTGGCTGAGAAGTAGAAGATCTGCTGTAGCTTAGCACTGTCAGAACTCACATCTTCCTGCAAAGTCACCCTTTGCCACCTTTTCTGTTCTCCTGCACAAAGCAAAGTGACGAGGGATGGAAAATAAAGTTACTGGTTGCACTTTAGCAGAAACTCTTGTGGACACCAGGTGGAGGAGCCTTTACAGCAGTACCAAGAACTGAGACCAAAGCCAGCATTCCTCCTACAGCTTTTAATCTGGGAAATGTGCTGGGATCCCAAGGTAAACACAAGAACCCTGCACAAGGAGGCAGAACTGAGCATGCAAAAGTTTGTGACCCACTGCTCAGGAGTGCTACTGCTGGCACTGATCTGCTCCCTTCAAACAAAACAGCTCCACTGCAGCCTCATTCTCAGCACCTCCATCGTGTCCCCACATCCTCTTTTGAATGCCTGGTCTAAATGGTATAACTAATCTCTGCTGAGCCACCAAACCCCTTAAGTCAGTGGTGCATAAGAGTCACAGCTATAGCTCCCAGGCAGGGAGCTCAGCACGAAAATGGAGCCTGTGCTGTCCTTACTGCTCCTTACACTCACATTTCCTCTCACACAACCCTGTTCTGCTGAGACCACGGAAGCCTGGGGCCCTCTATAGTAAAGCTCATCAGGTACAGCAAAGAGAACTTGGCAAATACCACCAAGAGCTGTTACCTAAGAGTCTGAAATATTTAGAGGCTAATCTTCTAAGATTAGTACAGTAGCAATGCTCTAGGGCAGCTGCTTTCTGAACATCACTAAACACAGAATAATGTTTTGCATATTTAAGAAAATAATCCTCCCCCAGTGCTGTCAAACACACCAGCAGTAAAAAGCAATACTTAGTCATTAAATGACTTTATGCAAATCAGCAGTGCTATGTACACCATTAGCAGGTGCCCTGTATTCAGCAACAGTGAACCAAAACTGTATAACTCCCAAATTCCTTCAAAGGGTAATTTTTTTATTACAGTGCACATTCACAATTATTTAGGGCCAAAAACTTGATGAAAAAATCCTATTCATCTGCATCTCAAAAAGTGGTACAATAAGAAATTATG